TTTTTTAGTTACTTTGTTACACAGGTGTGTGTGTGTGTGTTTTGAAGCAAAATGGGGGCTATATTGTCTATATAGTGTGTCTTCTATAATTTGTCTTCCCCACTTACTGAATTGTATTTCTCTATGTCCTTAAATATTGTGAGTGTGATGGAGAATATACTTGAAGGAAGGATGTCACCTAATTTATTTAACATGTCCCTTTACGGTGGTATAGTCCTTGTCGCCTGCTACCAGCCTTCTCTTTCTGCTCTGCTGTTCCCACCAGATCTTAATGCCCAGGACACATTGTGCTTTTCCATCTCCATCCCTCAATTCCTGGAGTTTCCTCAGCTGGAACACACATTTTTCCCTGGCAAATTTCTACTTATCGTTCAAACTGGTATCATCTTCCTCTAAAGCTTGCCTCGGTGCACACCCCACTCTGCTTAGTGCCTTTCCTCTGGGCTCCCAGTGCTCCCTCAAGCATCTACGACTGTTGCACTAGGCACGTTTTCTCGGCTTTATCCCCTGCGAATGTCTCAGTTCTCGATTTGCTAGATTTTAAGGTCTTTGAGGAGAAGCATACCACACACCACAGAAGATATGTTGAAGAGACACAGGTTGGAGCTAGCACCCCCCCCACTATCCTCCTGCTTTCTTTTTATTTATGCATAGCTTCTTAGGATGGCTTTCAACTCACCTGTCCTGGAATGCCCTGTTTCACCCAGTAATGGGGATTTCTAACATTCTTCACCTAACAAGTGCAATGATGTCCAGTCTCCTTGGTGTTGATAAATATTTTATAATTTTGGCCTTTCTATTTCCTTTCTCAGGGAAGCTACAGTTGTAGCTGCTTCTTTACTTTGAGCAGACATAAGGTGAAAGTCTCTTGTCCTGGACCCTGCCATAGTTCCATCTTCCAGCCCTCTTTTCCAAGTTCTGTTCTTAACTGTCAAGTAGCCACACTCTTTCTGATGGTAATAAATTTCCTTTGATCTGTTCTTGTAGAAATTTCACAGACTTAGTAAGTCTTTTGTGTTTGTAAAATAATTTGGCAATGTGCATTTTTCACCTGTCTCCTAGAATCATGAGGTTTCATATTCAAGTTCTGTGACTAAATATCTAGTTCCTCAAGTTCATGCTGATGAGTTAAATTTAATGTTTTCAGTTGTTTGCGAAATAAATTTGAAATTGTATTTGCTTTGAGGACAATACCAAGGATAGCATTTCATTTATATTTAATCTGATGCTGACAAATAAATATTGCTTTGAACCTGGGTTAGCTTTTGAACAGCGACACAATGTATTTTTACTGTAGACAAATTTAGCTCTACTTTCTAATAAAAATCTTTGATCATAAGACTAGTTTGGAGCAGGATACTTGGTAATTCAACAACAGGTAGACTAAAATTAAGAGAACATTACTCTAGATCGGGGGAAAATGATAGTAGTTTGGGCGAGGGTAGTGATTTTCAACCTTTTTCACATCATGGCACACATAAACTAATTACTAAAATTCCGTGGCATACCAAAAATTATATATATTTGCCTATATGACCAAAAATAGGTATAATTTTTATTTAGTTTCAGAAATAATAATAGTAATTACCTTCCCTTTTTGATCCAAATAGACTTTTAAAAAAATCAGGTGCCTATACTTGTATATAAGAATTTCTGGTACCAAGAATTAACCATCAGACACAATCTTATTATGTGACATGACCAATAAGATGCAACTTTTATATAATCTATATATTTATGGTTCAAGACAGGGCATTCACACGAGAAGATTATTGTTGTGTTGGCTATTGTTGGCTTTTATTACACAAGCTAAGAAAAAAGAGATCGGTGCTTCTGACTAAATAGTTAGGTACTGCATAAAAAAAAAACTCTTACAGTACTGGTTAAAAATCGCTAGGTTAGGGTGATGGAGGTGGCAAAAAGGAATGGATTTGAGAAACACCTGTGATGTATTAGCTATGGGGAGGGAGGTGATGGTGGGAAGTGGAGGTAGGGCTGGGGAGGGGATTCGTGCCTTGCACAGCTGATGGATGGCAGTTCAATCCCCAAAAGATCTCTAGGTCAGAACACCCAGTTACACCAGAAAATGTGCTAGATGTCACTGCCACTTTTACCTCTTTTCATTCTCCCTTTGTAGCTGTCATGGAGATCCTACCCTAGGTTAATGTTTTCCTACTTTTGGACAAATTTACATTGCTTAGATTCAATCAAATTCCAATTCTTTCCCCTGTCTACTCTCAGGTCACTGCAGTTGGATTCGGATAATCTCGAAAGTCTTCAAATATTTAAGGACAATCATTTTGGATATGTCTTATCTTCAAATGTGTGATCTTTGCTCTTCTTTGCTTTCTACTTTCATTCTTAGAGGGAAACTTAGTGGGAAAAAGTGAGCCACACTACACTCTACATGCCAAAGTAAATTTTAAATTAATTAATGAATCGAGTATTCAAAAAAAAAAATAGGTTGAACGTGAAAGCCATTAACATTCATTCAGTGGCTATGTGAGCCAAGACATAAACAAAGCTAATTCACAAGTGGGGAAAGGAAATAATAAACATGGAAAAAATGTTCCAAATAAGCCTTTCCCCCTTGTCTATGTTTTCTAAACCCTCTGTAATGTAGTATGTTTGCTGTGGTGGTGACCTCTTTCTCGAGGTCCCCCCGGTGCCACGGACATGCATGAGTGAATAAATATGGCCAAGACAAGATGAGATCTTTTGGGGGATGGAGGAGTGGGCTGTGGCCATTTTCTCAGGGGAGACAGAGGCCAGCACCTGCCAGTTTCTCCGAGGAGAAAAAGGCCTCAAGCACCTTTCTCCAAGGCTTTTTATTGGGTTGTAATACACAGGAATACAGGGCAGCAAGGATCAAACAGTAGATAATATTTCAAAGAAATCTGAGTTTCAGAGTTTGAGACAGTGTCTGTCAGGAAGAGAGTTGCAGAAACTTTGGAAGACATACCCATTTCCTCTTGGACCCTTATCATATGAATGAAAGCACTCTCAGCAGAGCAGATTTCACAGGTTTATCATCAAGCCTTTGTGATGCCAGATTTTTCCTAGGGCACGCTCTGGCCAGGCAAGGAGCTGCACCTCTCCCCATCAGGTATCCAGGCTTAAGTGGATTAGAGCCAGGAAGCACTTCTCCTGGAGACCACGGGGACTCGGGCTTTGTCAAAGCTGGAGGGGGTGGGGGTGAGAGTCCATTGCTCTTTGCTGCAGTCCCCGAGTCCTTCCATGAAGGCCTCCCAGATGATCGAATCTGGCTTAGGTTGCCCCCCGCTGTGAGGGGTCTTACCTGTCATTGACTTCCGACCAAGCTCTGGGGGCAGGGAGAGGAAGTGAGGCAGCGTTTGCTACCAGAGACAGGCTTTGTCTCCTGTGGCTGGCATTCCAGAGGTCATCCCTTGCCCTTAGCCACAAGGGGTAGAGATACAATTCCTAAAATCAGGCAGAGCAGTCTACAACAGTTTGCTTTTTTTAAAAAAGATTTTATTTATTTATTTTTAGAGAGGGAAAAGGAAGGAGAGGAAGGAGAGAGAAATATCAGTGCATGGCCACCTCTCCTGCACCCCCTACTGGGACCTAGTCCACAATCCAGGCATGTGCCCTGACTGGGAATTGAACCAATGACCCTCTGGTTCACAGTCCAGTGCTCAACCCACTGAGCCACACCAGCTAGGACAGTAACTTAGTATGTTTGCTTTTGGTTTTGACTTCAATTTAGGTGACCGTCGGTATTAAGTAGCCTGTTGTTGGTTCTATAATCAGACATCAAAGAATTAAATGAAACAAAAATTAGAAGGGAAACATAGTTTTAAGAGGCGGGTTAAGCGGAGAAGTTTTATAATTGAGCTATCCAAGGCCAATTCTGAGTGAAATTGTAAAGTTGGCTCTAATTTACTTCTCTTTTGCAGTTTCCTCCTCGGCTATTATGCTGGTGTTTTCTGAAGAGGCCTCCTTCTCCAGGCCCTCAATTTGCAGCCCAGAAATGACCTAGATTTATTCACAATAGATTTGAATGTCTCAAAGAATATCTACGTTTATCTGGGATTTGAGGCTTAATCTAAATTCATAAATGAAACCCTAACATGAAAATTCAGGCCTCATTCAAGGGGTGAGGGAGGGTTTTGAAGGATAGTGGAAAACACCCCACCAGGAGGTAGGCAAACCGCTGCTGGAAAAGTTGAGTCCCGGTTGCCACAGCTAATTATTCATAGATGAAGAGCAACAAAAGTTAACTTTCAGAAAAGGTAAGATGTAAAATTATAATTTAAAAATTATAAGTTGAGAAGTCTTAAAAGGATGGGGATTTTGGCACCCTCCCCTCTCCGGTGCTAGTTATCCAGCTCAGGGAGTTCCCCACCCCGTGAAACCCGAGACGGGTCCTACACAGAGGACAAGCAAAAACCCGAAAAGGCAGGCCACTGCATATCGGTAGATGACAGGTTTAGTAGGCAAGGGAACTTACTTAGACGGCTTACCGTGGGTGGCTGCAAGACGAAATCTCCATTCTTATTCTTGGGTTTATACAGAGGCCTTAACACGGTTCAGTCACCTATACTGACTAGGTGGTCTTAGTACTTTCTCAAGGTCGCCCCCTTCAGGTGGTTCCCAGTATCGAAACAGTGGGCGGGCTGGAGTTCCGAGGGTGGGGAAGTGGATGAGGAGCCTCTGATTGCTCCGCTTCAGCTCTGGGTCTGTAGGAGGTTAGGTCCTCTCCGTGACCAGCTTCAACACTCCTTAGACTGAACGTCGTTACTAGGTCACATTCTACTGAAATGGCAGCTATGTTGGGTATAGGAACCAGAAGCGGGGTTAGGGAAGGCTACGAGAACGAAGGCACCTCCCTCCTGTGGGACACCAGGTAAGCAACCCTGCAGGCTCTGCAAGGTCGTCTCTGTGGACAGTTTTCGGGGACCTGCAGGGAGAGGCGCACCAGGACGGCGCCGCCCACCTCGGGACCGCACCGGCCTCGGGGTTCCGGCGGCGGCCTGAGTCCCTCCCTCCCGGCACTTCCGACTCAACCTCCAGGGATGCCAGGCACTTCCTCCCACACAGCCCCTTCCCCCGGCCACGGCAGCCAGATGGCCGGCACGGAGTTGCGTGCGGCTCTCCAGCAGCGGCTGGACGCCCTCGGCATCCGCACGGAGGTCGTAGAGCATCCGGAGGTGAAGGCGCTCGCGTAGAGACAGCGGGGCAGGGGCGGGGAGGCGGGTCAGTGGTAGTGGGCGCCGCCGCGGGGTCCATCCGGCGGGGCCGCAAAAACGTCGGTTCTAGAGCTTTTCCCCGGTTGCAGTGCGGAACGGACTCGACGGGAACATCGGAAGCCTCTCTCTCGATTTGGGATTACGATGTTATTGGAAGAAAATTTGTGCTCTTTAAACGGGTGTGGGTTGTTGGTCAGTGTGTCGTCCACTTTACGTGTAGCTAAAATAAGTTACCAAGCAGTGGACCGTCTCTGCAATGGCTACGGAGTACCAGGCCGCATGCACACAGCAGGGCACCAAGTTTAGGGAGTTTATTTTTTTACGGAGAGGGAAAGGAAGAAAATCAGAGACGTGAGAGAGGCACGTAGATTGGCTGCCTCTCGCATGCCCTCAACCAGGGACTTGGCCTACAACCCTGGAACGTGCCCTGGCGGGGACCCAACAGCGAGCGACCTTTTGGTTTGGGGGACGTTCCCCAAACCAGTTAGGGCGGAAGTTTGGTATTTTAAACCTGATTAGATGTGCAAATGTCTCACGAGACCAATTGTAACTTGAGAGTTGCAGGGACATAGTTTTTACCTAAGACTTAAATAACTAATGGTAATAGCTAAATATGGTAATCGTCAAAGGGTAGAGAAGTCCATTAGAAGTCTTACTCACCTTTACAGATTTAACGTCAAAGTTATATTGTTTTCTGTGATCTTCCCTCTACATATCCTCCTTCTTTACCTGTGTATATTTCCAGCTTTCTGATGTTTAGTGCAGGGTCTCCTAGTGCCCTCACTATAGTTATGTATTTGTAGATTGGAGGTTGTCACCTGACCTGGATGTAATTATAACACTAAGGAGTCTGGGCTTTTATAAACTTTCAGTACCGAAAGTTTGAAGAAAAAACAAAAAGCATTTTAATATAAGCATGCAATGTGCATACACGCAATATTATTTTAAATTTGTGTGATATTTTACAGGTGTTTACAGTTGAAGAAATGATGCCTCATATCCAGCATTTGAAAGGAGCACACAGTAAGAATTTGTTTCTTAAAGACAAAAGGAAGAAAGGCTATTGGCTGGTGACAGTTCTTCATGACAGAGAAATTAATTTAAATGATCTTGCCAAGCAGTTAGGTGTTGGGAGTGGAAATCTGCGGTTTGCTGATGAAACGGCCATGCTAGAAAAACTAAAAGTTGGCCAAGGCTGTGCCACACCCTTGGCACTATTTTGTGATCATGGAGATGTGAAATTTGTTCTGGATTCTGCTTTTTTGGAAGGCGGACATGAAAAGGTGTACTTTCATCCAATGACCAATGCTGCAACCATGGGATTGAGCCCTGAAGACTTTCTTACATTTGTGAAGAAGACAGGACATGATCCCATACTACTAACTTTTGATAAAAACAACTAATTGGGCTAATGTTTAGAAAACATTTCTGAAAGCTGTGTTTCTTATTTGTAATTTGTGAAAAGCATTAAAAGTAGTAAGAATATTTAGCACCTTGCTTTGGTGGCTACTTAAGTCATTTTAGGAGGGATATTTTATTTTAAAGCTGTTTTTTTAAAAGATCTATTGAGGTAGTGTTAGCTCAGATAACCCTGGCCCCATCCTCCATTCCCTATAACTCATTACAGAAATGCCTTCAAAAATTAAGAGCAACATCAAAACTAAGATTCGTTAACTAAGATGAACTACTCTGCATCTTCGTTAGGGTGTTTATTGTGCTGGAAAAAAGCAAGGGGCAGAAATATAAAATTATGCATATGATAGTGTACATAGAGGGAAAATTAAAAGGAATATAATATATTAAATTGTGAAAAATGGTTATCTATGGGGAATGAAAATTAAGGAATTTAAAACTCCCCTGCAAGATTAATTAAAATAAACAAGGGCAAGGGCTAATTATTTTCATCACTGGGTGTTTTTAGTCACCCAGTGATTAAGAATTTCACCCAGTGATGGGTGACTTTCGGTGAAAAAATAAGCTAACTTTTAATAAAAGTACATCTTTAGAAAATTTTAATCTGGAAAAACACTCAACTTAGGGATGGGAAATATTGCAATAATTATACCACTAAAATTATATTTTAAAAATTGATAGCAGAATATACACAAGCCATAAGAAGGATCTGTTTAGTCTTTGTTCAAAGGTTGGAAATGTGAACATTAACTTTCTTCTCTCAAAGATATATTGAATTTTGCTTATCCCCTCTTCATTATGGCAAATGAAAAGTGTAAGATCCCAGGATTATGTATTGTCAGTTGTCACATAAAGGTGTTTCGGAAATAGAGTGAGTAAAACTGACTTTTTTTTCACCTCACTTAAATTCAGACAAAACCCCTTCTCAGTAGAGGGTGTGATGAAGGCAGACTACAAACTAGTCTACAGGTCCTGTCATGAAAATTCTCATTTTCCTCTAGTACAGTCAAGTGGGATATTCATTAATATAACCATATCTTCTTAAGTTTGATCACTCAAAAAACTCCACCTGGTAGAGATGTATTTAATTTATACCAATTTGTGTTACTAAAAGGTAAAGTAAAACTTGTCATTTCTTGATATGATTAGAAACTACAAGTCTATTCATGGCAGAGTTTTTTAAAATTTATTTTTAGAGAGGGAAAGGGAGGGAAGGAGAGGGAGAAACATTATTGTGTGGTTGCCTCATGCGCCGGTGCCCCGGGACCTGGCTCGCACGCAACCCCCGCATGTGCCCTGATGGAATCAAACCAGCGACCCTTTCCTTCGCAGGCCAGCACTCGATCCACTGAGCCACACCAGCCAGGGCTCATAGCAGAATTTTTTACAAGATGTAGAATGTATTTAAGCAATGTGGAATTAGTAAGAAACACTTTCCATAAATGGATAAACCTATTCTGAGTTGCCATGCTGGTTTCTACCTACTCTGTACTGTATCTTTAAGGTTGCTTTACATATAAAATGAAGGTTTAATGAATAGAATCAAAGACACTGAGGACCTCAGATAAGTGGTGTAACTTCTCTTCCCCACCTTATGATAGAAAAAAGCAAAGAATGACCTGCAAGGACACCGGTCTGTTTGCCGCCTGTAATATTTTGCCTCCAAGGGCTAAGTGAAAATGAAATGGTGATTTGTACAATCTATTAATGCACTGGGCTGGCCAAAAAAGTCTGTTTAATTTTTTCCAGTAAAATAAAAGACACATTTTTCATTTTCACCAGTAACTTTATTGATTTGGATATTTTGAGTATGTTGGCTAGCTCCCTCATGGTAGAAGGATTAAGTTCTCAAGGTCTTGATTTGATCATTACCTACCCGTGGAACATAATCAGTGAGAAGTCTTCAACACAAAACTTTGCAAATCACTTTTGACATGTTCTATCAGTTGTGCACCTTTTTGCATTTCAGTTATTTTTTTACCTTTCTTGAAATAATAAAGCACAATATACCAAAAATGTCGCATATTTTTCCATCCTCAATATTAAAATGGCTATACAAAAAACCAATTTTGATAAGTTTTTTTTAATGCACACTGATATGACAGCTGTCACAATACAACATAACAAAACTGTTCTGAAAAAAAATAAAAGACAACTAAGCACTACTAGAACCATGTTATGGAAAAAACCAAACAGACTTTTTGGCCAACTGATAGATACTCTTCTCATTTTCCCAAAAATCTCTAATAACTATGCTAAAATGATTAGGATAGGATAATCTAAACAACCTTATGAGTTATGTGTGAAAATAGGTTTTCCAGGACAAAGAGAAAGAACAATACCTGGCTAAATTATATTTTATAATTTTAAAATGATTACTAACCACTTATAAAAATTGCCTTTGTTTTATTTCTTTGTATCAGTTTGATAAGTGAATGTTAAACCAACCTAATTTAAAAAAGTAAAGTTAAACACTAAAATGATAAATGATGAATGCTTTTAAAAAGATAAACAATGGTGTATCTTTTGTTATAAACTGGATTTCTGTGGCTGATATTAGGTATTGCCAAGTAATAAACATTTTGCTATTCAAATCTCTCAGTAGCAGTACTTTTAAAGGAAATGTTACAACTTTTATATTATTTGATTTGGTATTTAATAACAGTTATAAGTACAATGGCAAACACTAAAAGAGAACCCTTAGGAGAAAAGAAAAAGACAATTTATAATCAGGTTTTGTTAAGAGAATTATAAGTGCAACTTTATCCATAAGCATTCCTTTTTAAGGCATTTTCATTGTCCAAATATTTCAACAAGTACATCACAGTTTATATTATAAAATGGGCTCCTTCTGTATTATTAATTCAAGGCTTAAATAAAAAACACGTCTTAGGACTAAGGGTAGCAGAAAAGAAAAACAAAAAATTCACCACTTTTCTCATAAGTAACTTAAAATACAAGCCATTTAGCACACATTATTACTCACTGAAATTCCAGATTTGGTACAATATCTTTTTCACTTCCTGACATAAACTGTTAAGACAGTGCAGGCTGCAATATTTCATTTGTGAGGTGGCTGCAATTCTGTAACATGCACAGTGACTTTTCAATAGGCTCTTACCATGCCTTGCATGAAAGGTGCTACAATACAAACCTGTTTCGTGAACTCTTTGGTAACCACCAGCTCAGAAACTTGGACCAAACATTTCCACTGAAGCTCTTACCCTGTATTTTCAATTCTTCAGGTTTTTTTTTTTAGGCGGGGAGGGAGTAGGTAGGTGGGGCAGGGATTAGGTATAGATTTAGAATAGATAATTAAAGCATGTCAGGGCCCAGTCAGAAAGACCCTGGTTTGTTTCTAGTTGTCCATACCATTTTGTCTGGCAGTAGTTTAAGGAAAAAGAGTGACTTCCTCTAAGTTTACTTCCGGTGGTATCTTTCGGAGGACGTAAAATACTCATGTGGTTATTTTCTAGTCCTTTCTTGAAATGTTATGAAAAGGGGGGTGAATATAATTGAGAATATTCCTGCTTTTGCAGTCTCAAGTGTTCCCTTGGTTGCTGCTTTACCTGGCTCTCAGGGGCAGCCTACCCACACGGGGTACTTTATAGGCTGCCGTTAGCATTTTCTCCTTGAAGAAACAATATGCTGCTTATGTCAGAGGTTCTGGGCAGGTCAAGCTGTGATCATTCACCCTCACGGGGCCACCTCCTACTCATTAATTTCAGCTTTCAGTAATTGTCCTGGGATGTGTCCTAGTTGTGCAAATTAGAAGCTAGTTAATATGAATCTAAGTTACCCACTTACTGTATTTTAGCTAAAACATAATTTCTATATTTCCATTTATCCACCTAAAAAGGAATTTACATTTTTTACATGCAAGTGTCTCTAGGCTGCCATGATGCCCATTATTGATTTGATACTTGAATCTAGGGAGTCATGATGGAGAGAGATTTTTCAAAGTCTACAGAATAGGTTAAATATGTCTGTCGTGTAACATTTGTATTTTAGTAAGAATCCTTTGTATTTACATTACATAGCACCTTTCATCCAAGAGTTTAAAAGTGATTTAACTTTACAGCATTATTCGGTGGCAAAACCTAAGGTAATGGTGGTATTTAAGTTAGCAAGTCCAAGTTTGCTAATTTCCTTTTAATCTAGTCAACAATACATCTGTCTTTTCTTCATTAATGGTCTTTCTGAAAGTAGACTTTGAACACAACATTGCTACTGACCTACCAAAATAAAAAGATACATAAATGATAAAGAGGGGAGGAGGAGGAGGAGGGGGTGGGGCAGAGAGAGGAAAGGAGAGGGAGAATACATTTCTCATGGCAGCTAGGTTGGTGATGAAACACACAGTTCATGAGCCCACACCGGAATATGGAATTACTCCAAAAAGTTTTTAGAGCTGGTAATGAGCCTCAGAAGCACACTGTTAAAATAAAAAACACAGCGTCTTTCTCATTTTACACCTTTAAGATCCTGGTATTTATGTTAAATAATGAATTTGCATTAACCAGTATCAATGAATATTTTTGATTTCATAAGAAAATAAAACTGATATAAAATTGAAACTACAAAAAAACTGATGTTTCCCTGGGTTAAATTAACTAAATCTACTTTTTTGTGCTTCTTTCAAATGTTCAAGGTAACAAATGTATACAAATATTTCAAAAGTACCAATAATAGTTAACAACTTTAATGTAATATTATAAAGAAAACAAAAAATCTTATTAATAAGTGATAGCCTTAATAATAAATGAGTTCCTGGCAAAATGCAGATCATAGTGTTATTTACATTACTTTTGCCATAAGAAAATGTCTTAAGTAACAGTCAGCTCTCAAGTTAAAAAAACACACATACATGACCCAATACTAAAGAAGGGAAATGAATTAAAATACGACAGCTTTGTCTTAGGAATGCCATTTGCTGGAAAATCACCTTACTAAAAAAAGTTTCAGAAAAACAACTTGGATTCACATGTGAATGTTTAGTGTTGCTTACTGGGGAATATGGATAGATTATTACTGTAATTTTTAATAACTCTTATCATTATGGATTTTTCAGATTTAACTTATAAACCAAATTTCTTTTTCAGTGCATCAAAATAATTGGGCTAAAAAAAAGAATACCAACACATGCAGTCTGCTAACCAAATAAGGCTCTGGCATGCCAAAACAATGTTCTCAATCTTAATATATAGTACATTCCACAACATACTACAGCATTTAATTTAGATTTACACAACTAAATATAAATGACTAGATTTCAGCTAATATTAGAAGCATTAAGCAAACATGGATAAATTCATAAACAAATGATGAAAGAAGTAGGTTGTTCTTGGAGTACTTCTTGAAACCTCAAAACACTTGATCCTTAGCGAGAGAACATCCTTTATTCAGTAGATCTTACAAGTACAATGTATAGTAAGTCCTAAAACCTTCTAAAAATTTTGGCAGTTGACTCCAGTAGTGCTCCTTGATTCAAGGAAGGAATGAAGGTTTGTATTTCTTGCCTGCTCTAGTCACGCAGGATTGTATAAAGTCTCCTTAAAGATTTTAAAAAATGATTTCTATAGTTGGGTGGCTTGTTACTTCAGAAATAAAGGCTTCATACTGAGAAAATGAAGGACACTTTTCTCTCTGTATTTAGTTGAAAGGTAGAAAGAAGAAAGAAAATATAAGAAAAGCTTGAAGATGAGAGATATAAAATACAGAGTAGCCACTACAAGAACAGCATGCACCAGATATTTCTATAGAATGAGAATGACAGAAAGTCAAAGACATGTTTTCTTTAAGTGGCACTTAGTTTATCCTCAATTACCAAGAACACTATGCCAAAGCTGTAGTCCTACCACAACAAAGAAAAGCCTTCAAACAAAAAAAAAAGAAATTCCTAGAAGATTACTCACTACTAAAATTAAATTTAAATTGAGGGGAAAATTAATTCTGAAAATTTGCTTCCTGTCTGACAAAAAAAAAATTACAGCAATCAAATAATCTTGCTTTACAAGTAGGACAGAAGTCATGAATGAAGCAAGCAATATTTACATCTGTTAATGCAATATGCACTTGTTCTTATACTTAATGCGGTTAGTTTGTATAAATGAGACTAATCTCATTTACATTTGGAGTAAGAAACTCACCACTTGGCCCACATGGCATGTAGTGGGTAATACAATTAGGAGCTTTGTTGCTCCCTAGACCTGCTTTTTGAATTTCTGTTTTCTTGTACTTTGTCCACATCTGCAGGAAAAAAGCATTTCATGTTATTTAATCAAAGGTTAAACATGATACAATTCATGAAGATAAGAAACTAATTAAGTAGAGCAAAGTGAAGGAATCTAACTCTGGGGAAATTCTGATAGACATCTCATTACTCAAAGACTGATTTTTGTATTTTTAAAAGCTATAAATAATATGCTGTTTTATATTAGATAGGTTTACTTATTATGTTTATTTATTAAATGGTCACATAGTTATCCAGTAAAAAGTAATCTTGCATGCAGTGGCGGAAACATCTACAATGAAAATGACTATTAGTTACTAAGAATCCTAGGCTTGCGGCTTATTTTGCAGGCAAATAACATACCTACTTACATTGTTACAGCTAAAATTGCTTTGGTCAAAAGGGACCCAGTGCTTAGCAGTGTCAGTTTGCAATGTCACACAAATAATATGGGTATAATTTCTAGAATTCTGGGCCAGGAATATAAACTGTAGAGTTTCATCCAAAATTAGGGTACCGAATGTCATATAGTTTTTCAAATAATCCTTTGTGAAGCCAATGGCTATTTATGGAGATGTCTTAGGACTAAAACATGCAACTACTCAATTGAGGACGAGTTGCTTTATTTTTGTTAAAAATTTTCTTTACTGGGGGCATTTTGTAAGATTTCACTTATAGAAATTATGGCTATATAGTGTTTTGAGATACTTTCATGACTGCATAGCTTGTGACAGTTTCTGGATGAAGTTATTCTTATATAATCATTAAGACGCATGGACATAGTATATATCTGTCATACATGCACAGTGGGTATGTTCTTTTTGAAAATATGCTGTTACATATGTAACTCTAGCCATTTCAGTTGGAATACTTCTTTACTGTAAGCATAATTTTGTAAAAGTCAGTTTTTAATACAGCACATGATTTTTCAATGCTTTATATTGAGAAATTTAGCATTTTAAATTTAAGGTATATGTCCAGATTTATAATAAAGATTTGAAATAGTTGAGAACTAAAATTTGACTCTAGTCAAAAAGAAATAATTATTACATTTGCATTATACATGGTCTCCATCTAATCTATTACACCTGTATTTACCATTAAGTTTTATTACGAGGTTATGAAAAAAAAAAGGGAACACTAAAACATTTGAAATGTTAGGACTATGAATCAAATGACAATAAAAGACTGATATATTCATGCAGAAATATATTCGGTGGTACTAAAAAATATAAAAATTTTCTGGTTACCTGCTCTAGCACTACTTTTAGTAAGAGCTGCCTATGAGAAAAGTATGATCAAAGATATAAAGGGGCCTACTTCCTGAAATGATCTCATGTAAGTACAAGAGGATGGCTTAATTTACAAAGGATACAAATTTCATTCAGCAAAGGCTCTCTACAGACTGTTTTCTTTGGTCCAATTAATAACATTAATATAAAACACATAATAAATAATAATTTCCTTCCTCTTTAGAAAGTTACATTTCAAAGCATTCCTTTCAAATGCCAGGCTATCATCAAAAATATTGAGGCTGAATCAAAACAGCACAATATTCCAGAGACAGAGCAAAGATATACTCATCCAGAGATAAGTGAATCAGAGTTATGAATTTTTATTTATTTTTATTTTACTCTTAGAAATTCAAGTTTAGTTGGTTCTGCTTTAACAGTGCAAGATAATTTTAAAGTTTAAGACACCAGAGTCCAAGTTAGCAAATATTACCTCTATCTTAGATGGTTATTTTTTAGCTAAGAGTCATATTTATTCTTAGTTCTAAAATTTGTTCTACTAAAAACAAAACATCTATTTGTTTAAATGGTTACAAATCCTAATATTTTAACACAATATGCTCATTTTAGAAAATTCTATATTAAGGACAAACATATAATTTAATAGTCACTTATAGAATTATAGAAGTAACAATCTTCACCACTTTGTAAACTTCCTATTCTTTTTGAACAGAGGTAAAAATGCAAATTTCCAACACATTGCATATGACTGGTTTATTTCTCTTTGACTACATATTAAAAAAGAATGGGAAAAACTGCATTAACTGATTCCAATTAAAAAAGTAATCTTGAAAGAAGATGAAGAAAAGTGCAGAAAAGAAATAGAATATATACAAATGCTCCTGGTCACTGTGTAAGTCACATTTAAACTTGATGGGGTTTTTAAGAATGACACTAACATTATGAGAATTAACAATGTTTTAAATCTGAACAATTCTAAAAATATATGCAGAAGTTAATATTTGCTATGTAAAATACTGGGTTATACTTGTCTTTGAAAATAAAACTGGACAGAAGGCAATAACTAAGTGGCAAAAGAAAGTGACGTCTTTTACATATTTTCCTATACATGTGCAATATGTATTGCACATTCTAGAAATAAAAAATGAATGAGAGAAAGGGAGGTAAAGGAAGAAAAAGGGGTGAAGGGAAAAAATGAGCATTCTTTTCAGGAAGCAACAAAAGTAAATATGAGTCAGAAATGCTTTCTTGGTAATAAGAGCATGCAACTAACGTGCTTCTAAAAGTAACAGTCTTTTATCAGGTGACAAGAAATGTGAAAGAGGAGCAGGTATTGTTAAGGTTTTTAAAGTCATGCAGAAAATGTACAACACAGTATTTCATGCAGGCTTTGGTGTGGTTACACATTCACATCCATATACAAGCCATCATATACAGCCAAACACTGCACAACAGGAAAATAAAAATATGAATCTAGCCAAATACTTTTCAACAGCAGCTCTTCAAGACAGATTAGAGAAGCAGAGTGCCTATCAAATGACACCAGTATTATACTGTGCAGTTCTGATCATACACAACCATATTCATACCAAACAGTTTGATTATCCTCAGAAACCAACAATGCAGCTTCTGTGTCATCAGGACAGAGGCATGCAGAAGTGATAAGAACATTGCTATCTAAAGAAGACTGCGTGTTACTGTTACTAGGGTTCTGATGATCAGAAAACTGTTTGTTATCTTTCTGTGTAGCTTTATCGAAAGAGGCGGAAGCCTGGTCAGTTACTCTGGTGACTGGCCTGGGAGGTAACCCACTTATGTTACTAACTAACTCTGTGTTCAGGGATAAAAATGGCTGAGCTGGATGAGCCACAGTAAATGATTCTAGGCTATCTTTAGCTGATATTCTAAATGTATCATTAGATATATTAATAGTGGTAAAAGATTGGCTTAGAAAATGTGACTTTTCTGACAAGTTTCTAGCCTGGACAAGAGGCTCAGGCACTTCCGTAACTAAACCAATTTGTGAATGAGAACCTACAGAATGTGTTGGGCTGTGAAGTGTATGGGAGGACCACTGGTGTAAAGGGTACTCACTAGATGCGGCAGTGATGTTGCTATCAGCAGTAGCTGGTGATGAATCAACTGACATAGGTAGTCTACTGTCCTTGGTCAAAAAATCATGGATGCTTGTCCTTCGAGTAGTTCCTTCGGCAGTAGAGATCACACTGCTTGCACGAGGTAAAGTGGCGTAAGGATTACTAGCTTTTGATTGTCGTGACAAAGAAGATTCTTTCACTAATTTTATCTTTCCTTGAGTACTCGGTGTAGGTTTTCCTGAAGAGCTAATAAAGTAGGTATCTTCACTCCTTTGAGGAACAGGTCTCACACATTGTTCGGGCTTAGTTGTCCGTCTATCACAGAAATCTCCTGGGGCTTTTCCACTTACTGACCTGGCCAGACCACAGCTAACTGGTTTGCTTTTTCCCAAAAAGTCAGAAGAGACAGACAAACTTTTCATTACTTCATCTAAAAGATTCTCCTGACTTGAGGACTTTATCTGTTAAAAAACAAAGCAGATTAATGAATAGCAGCCATGCTTTTACTTTCCTGATATATTAGATTGTATAATATAAAGTTGCTAGTATTTCTAAACACTCCTTTACTAAAATGAAAGTTCTAAAGTTCAGCCATAGATATATAACTTGTAATGCCCATATAAGTTAAGGTCACCTTTAAAACTAACCTGTATTGAGGTAAGCTTGTTGCTTTCTTCCAAAAACTGTTGTAGAGTAACCACTTCACTTCCAGGGGAACCAGTTTTGATCTTGCGATGTGCTCGACCCTCTAACGTTTCAGGCATTTTGTGCTGGAGCACTGGACTTGATCTGGTTTGTCTTTTCAAGTACTGGATTGGACTGCTACCACTGCTGGACCAAGCCTCATGATCATGAAGTAGGCTAAATTCTCCACTGCTGTGGCTTTGAGGCCTGCTTTGGATATGAACTGCACCTGCTTTTGAAGTAGATGATGTGTTAAGAGTTCAATTATAGAAATGAGATTAAAACTTTGTAAGTAGTAAGATTTATTGACTGGGTTCTTATAAACTTTTACTTAGAAATCCTTAGTATACTATGTTTATCTTGATCAGTCTAACAATTCCCTGATTATTTTGTCTACTACAGACTTCCTTATCAGTCTACCATAACCTGCTTCCTTATTTAGTCAATTTGGCAAATATAAGCACCACAAAAGCAAAAACTTGCTTTTACCACCATACCCAGAACCTAAATATATAAAGCAAGCACTTAATGCATTTGATCAGTAAATGAATGAATAAATAAATGAATATTACATTTTTACAAATTTAGGTTCAAATGCAAGTTAACTATTGAATAACAAGAGATTAGGGGTGCCGACCCCTCAGCCCCTCCATATATGTTCAAGAATTAACTATAATTGTAAAACACCTCACAATTTAGAACAAAATATGATTCTATGAATATTAAATTATTTCAAAATGTTAAGATCAAAAATTATTCTAAATCCTAAAACTCTAATGCTTTGCCTTTCTATGAAATACTCCTCACTTAAAGGTTTCTCTGTTCATCCTTTAATGAATAGCCTTAAATTTTAAAAATTTAAATAACAGGCATATAAGGAGAGTAAAATGGAGATATGATGTAATTACTCAGAAATTTCCAGTAAAAAGTAAAATCAAATATATAGTATTTTATTCTTTATTTAATGCCTGAATCATCTGACTGTTCCTGCTTTCTTTCCACTGTTGGTATGGTAGCTACTCAGCTGAGGTTGAAAAACTACAAAGAATGCAAATTACTAGTTCTGTAAAAATGCTAGCTAAAGGTTATGCTCTTCCTTAAGGGTGCTAATTCCTTTTGATCAAAAGCAAACTGTGTGTAGATAGAGTGATAAGACAGAAAATGCAACCTTCCATGGTTTCCCAATCACATATAGTAAAGTAGGTCTTGAAAGAATCTGGCTCAAGTTATGTAACAATTTTATAATAATAAAATTTTCAAATACTTCCTCACATTTTCATACTCTTATTTTCCTCTTGGATATACAAATATGATTATAAAAATTTTAAAACTCTCTCCTTGAAATAATATTTTTCAGATCATAGTAACAAAGTTATAGTATTAGTGGCAAAATAAAACTAAATGTAGACAAAAGGATTTTATAATACAAAAAACAAAAGAACAAATCCATTCACTATCATTTGACAATTCTGGACTGTAGAGAATAGTATTTTAACAAACTTTTATAATCTACTAAATAATTATAGAATCTGAGTAGGCAGTATTCCTTGAAGGAAAAGGGTATCAGTTCAGGCTTCCAAACATTACATAAAAACCTTACCCTGGAATGTACATTTAAATTCAGGGGAAAATTTTGAAATAATTCTTGGATGAGCTACATGCATCCACTTGGGTCTTGCAACATACATATACACACACAACTGCCTTATCAAATTAAAAAAGATTTCCCCTTATTTCATGGATCAATTAAGTATTTCTAAAACACTTTGTGTAATGACTTCAATGCACATGCATCATGAAAAAATTAAGGACACCATTTTAATGACAAAGACAAAACGAGTAAAATAAAGATCTACAGATATTTTAAAGTATAAAGATTATAATAAAAATATTTTATGTGAAAGATGAAAAACGGAAACCCAAATAACTGCTCCTGTTTTTACATTTATATACATTGAAATACATATGTATTACAATGTTAAAAGTATAAGATATTCTAAGGAACTATATTCCAAACATAGATGATTTGGATTTCATACTCTACCCCAGGAACTTAACCAATCTCCCTTTTAAATCTGGAAATGGATGGAGCATATTAATAAATTTACCTACAGCATACCTTTGACTTCATGAAGTGAAGCATTATTATTGCTATTGCTAGTGGATGTTCTGCCACTATCAAGGCTGGCTGGTCTTGAAGCTAAATGAAAAAATCAGGAGACAGTGTGATAAAACTTCCAGCTGCTGACACTGAACTTTTACATTCTGATCACAGAATGCTTTGAGGAAGTAACCATGTACACTTTTACATGCTGAGCATGCCCACAGACAGCTGAATCATATAGATTGGAGAGTAAAGACATTCACATAGTTCAGTAAGACACTTTAGAAGAGGACACTTCTGAAACAATAGTTGAAATTCAAAGAAAAAAGATAAAGTACATATTTAGATTTGAATATGATTTTGAGATAGATATCAGGACTGTTTCAGAGTGGGAGACATGACAAAAAAAGTGCTAGTGATTAGGTTACTTACAACAAATCAGACAAGGAACCCTGCACACTGTAGAGATGCCACAAACCGGAGGAATATGGGCATCTGCAGTTAATGTCTTATAGTTCTATCCTTAACAAGGGAAACAACTGCACAGTTAACACGGCCCTACCCTATTTCTTAAAATCCTACTACAAATGGCATTCCTTTAACATGTTATCCATTTATTGTTAATAAGTTATTTTGGCAAGGCATGATTTTCCAGATAGCAATTTAAAAATCTGAAATGCTTAACCCTAGAAAAAATGTGGTTTCTTAGACTTTATCCTTTACCAAAGTAAATATGTTTTAAACCAATGGTAAAAAATAACTCATAACTTTAAACTTATACCAAAATGCCATCGAAATTACCATTAAGCATTGTCTTGGCATATTTTGTAAGTAACCTTGACTAAAATACAGACTATTTAGATGAAGCAGTAATTTAAAAGAGAGTATCGTCAGGTTTTAAGAAATGGCAGAGGTCTGACATGCAGGCTTAGATAAAACATGCTTGCTGGCAATGGACACTCATAGATTTAATGCAACATTCTACTTGTACAATATACTCTCTAAATAAAGTTCATATCTTACCATGAACTCTTGATCCCGTACTAGAACCATCACTAATACCTTGTGGACTTATATCTTCAAAGGATGTAGTATCTACATGAAATAACAAAAATGGATATAAAATATTTTTTAACAAAAGAAACCCATAAAATTTTATTTACACAGAATATGGAAATTCTTTTTCAATCATATAATAATACATCTTGATTTAACATATTTCATAGACTCAGTCAAAAACTGGAACTAGGATAAAGAAACAGAAAAGCTCTGATGAGAGTTTACTTGCTTAGGGAAATACCAGAAGCAATGAAACAGTCTTCGTGACCCTGCAAAGCAAAGCAAGAGCCTCGGTTGTTCCACATGGTTTTCTCTGTTTGAAGTTGTAGTGTTTTCAGGTTTTTTGTATTTTGTTTTAAAAAGCTTTCCTTTTCCATTTCTTGATATTTCTTTAGCTGTTTATTATGAAAGCCCTAAGAAAGATTTTAATTATTTGTATGTTTTAATTTTTGAAATGATTTGAAAATTTCCTCAAATCAAAACCAGATTGTTTTAATAATTATTTCAAGTTGTTGCTGTCAAAAAAAGTACACATGGGAAAGTGAAATTAAAATTCCTGTTGCCAGTAGTTACACAACAGTGCAAATAGCAGACAGCCTATACCTTTATTATTAACCAACTGCTTGGATCTGAAGCCTGTAGAAGAGTTGACAGTTGAAAAGTTGATAGCTGTAGTAGAGAAGGCCATAGCTCCCAATTCTTTTCTCCTTTTACCCGTTGAAATATCATCAGGAACCTCCAAATTCTCAGTACTACCTGTCCACTGTCCTCCTGCTAGGACCATGGACTGCACCAGGTCATTCATGGCTGGGATGCAAATGAAAGCAAATGAATCAGCATGGTTAATGTTTTTGCTCTTATTTCTCTTTTGTATCATAAATGATGTTCCCCCCCTATGGATTAATGCAAGTGAAAATAAAAACCTATAAACACGTCATTTGAATTATGACATGCATTCAGCTGAGTGAAATGACTAGGCCAAAGGCTGATAAATTTCAGTAAATATTTTTTATCCCATCTCCACCCCCTTTAAAGATAGAAAAAGGAATTTTACGCTGTAAAACTGCCATGCTTTTGTGCAGTGATGTGTACTATAATTAGAAGCCTTCATAACATGGTTTCATGGTGACAAAAAATGGAATGAATAAAGGTTAAGATGGAGAGCAGATCTTATAGAGCATCATTATTGAAAATGACAGAGTCCTTGGTCAGAGCAGGTTACTGAAGAAATTATTCATTTTATGAATCAAGTAAGTATACCATCAATAAAAACCTGAAAGAGATGACAGTCAAAGTGACCAACATTCAATGTGATTACATAATTACCCATTCCACTTAAAAAAAGGGAAAACCAGAGCATTATTATATAAAGAATGACAAACATGTTTAAGGGTTACAGGCCATTTTATTTATTTGTTTGTTTGTTTATTTATTTATTCATTCTAGTTCATTAAGAAAATAAATTCCTAATGCTAAATGTTTTGTTATATTTTCTTTAAGTAAATTTCTTTGGGAAAAAGTCTCTATGGCATGAAAAATGACTTTTTTTCCTGCCAACTTTTAGAAAGCACTGGAAAATTACAAGTGTATTATTACATGTATGACTAAACATGCATGTATATGTATATATCAGTGAACATACATATAATGCAAATTCAGTGCCAGTTTTGAAAAAAAGAATTCTTCCAGCTCCTTGTATTAGAGGAAGACTGTACTTTGTAAAATAAGAAAATTGGCACAGTCCAGAGAAAGGTTAGTGACAAATTAGTAATGGAAGCCAATACAGTCAATTGAAAGAAGCTGTACTGTCATAAAGTCTTACACATGGAACGACGGTAGCAGGCCTTCATTTTGTCTTTATCCTTCGGTCTGTTCCTCAAAAAGGGCAGTCTTTTCAGTGCAACCACTTTAATGTCAGAGCATGAGGAAAAACAGAAACAGAAAAATGAAAGAAAAAAGAAAGAAGAACAGATGGGAGTTAAATGTTGAAATTAAGGACAGAAATGAATGTTTGAGTTTCAGCTTATGTATGCTATCCTAAAGCTATTATTCTTGGGCTGCTGAGTGACAATGAAACATGAAATAAGCACTCTGATACTTTAAAATACTTGGGAAAGCACCAGACAATGATGAGGAACATATACTTTGAAAGCCTAGATTAGCTAGTCCTATAAATACAGGCACTGGTTAGAATTATTTATGGAACAATTTTCCTGGTTAAGTTATATACCTTTAGAATTAGGGCTATTGGTGAGCCACAGAGTATATGTGATAAAAGTGTAAAAGGCTTTTCAATCCTTTATTTTCTTTATATTATAAGGTTTTATGGAAAGAATAACTTAGGCAAGTACACATTCTATTAAGAGTATTTTAGTATATATCAACAAAAACTATAATGCCTAAGGGATGTTTAAAATAATCTAAAAACTTTCATAAAAAATTTTCATTACTTTCTTAAACTTTAATAAAGAAATAGGCAATTACTTCTTGCTTTAAACTAAATTCTGGTGCATTATTTAGTAGCACCATGAAAAATTATATTTTTTGAACAAAGTCTTTCAAAAGATGAAATGAACAATTACATTAAATTTCATAATGCAAACAACTGTTTGGGGAAAGAGAAAAAAAGTCTTTTGACAGTAGTAATAAGTGCTAGCTGTAAGTCCTGGTAAGGCTAAAAGATAAGAAGGCACCCTAAAACAAGCAAAAATGACAAAAATTAAGTATATATTATATTTTTAGATATTTTGAAGGTGAGGTTATTTAAAAGTCAAAGAGCACTGTGCAAAAAATTTTGGGGAATAAAAATGAGGGCAGTAACTCCAGTAGGAGTCAGCACAAAAACAAGTTCACTAGAATCACTAACTTTCTTAAACTATATTTTAACAAGATTTGAATTTAAGAAAATGTTATACCTTTTTGGAAGTGCAATTTAGAAGCTAGGGAAACGACTTGCAAACATAAAAACATAGGACTTAAAAACATATTGTAACAGCCTAAATAACTATGCTCTTTCTCAGGGTTTGCTGTTATCTTGTAAATAATCAGAGCTCTTTGACAAACTGACAAGAATCATTAATTAAGAGAATGCAATGTACATACAGCTATTTAGTGTATTCATTTGATTGCTATCAGGAATAGTCATGATTAAGCTTTTAATCTGACCTATTTCTTTTCTAGCTTCATAAAACAGCTATTTTCAATGGTTAAAAAGAAATGAACTGAAAGCAATGTAAAAATGGACACTTAGCTAAAACAAGGCTGAGTGGTTGCAGCATGCACATATTGTCTTATGTAAACATTTTCTTTCTTTGTTTTCCAAAGACTTCTTTACTGACAGCCAGACACTCTTCCAAAAGGGACAGGATAAAAGGAGTTTCAAATCTGCCAGTGGTAGAATGTGACCATTCTTGCGGCAATTAGTTTTTAGATACACAATGTTCTTTTCTCAAACCATACTGAAATTAAGAGAACACTGCCACTTCTGGGTTTTGTATTTAAAACTTTTAAAAAATGAATATTTGTAGGAAAGGAGAATATTATTTCCTTCTGATTCTTATTTTGGAGGTTTCAGCAGAGCATATGAAAGAATAATGGGTGGGGTCAAAGTAGGTTTACAGTTGTTAGAATAGAAAATAATACAATAATTGATAAATAACAATATAAGAATAAACTTTCACATATTCACAACTCACTTACTTTTACCCCACTCTGTATTTAAAAAAAACAAGATGGCCTCAGAAACAACAGTGATGCCTTTCTTTGTGAATGTTTTCATATCTAAATAGAAATTTCTTCAATTAAAAAAATTAAGTATACCCATTACCATTTTTTATTTAATAAAATTTTAGGTATTCTCAAACTTAAGAAAAACTTGATGAGCTTCCTACAATACTCAGAGGTTTCCTGTAGATTCAACTGACAAGACTAGGTAACAAAAGACCCAGGTTAACAATAATCTTTGGGGATATAGAATTAAACAACTTTCTTCAGCCTACTACATATTAATACTACATATAATTTTTTTGAGTGCTTTGACAGTTACCCACACAGAGTCTACTCCTAGGGGAAGTAGAATAGCTGTTTTTGCCTGCTATTTACTTCAAAAGAATAGTGGTGAAATTTTTATATATACAAATCTATTTTTAAAATTTAATGACTGTGGTGATAGAGTGAGTGCATTCAAAACATACCATTTACCTATTTTATAAGAACAGTGGTGGTCAACTTCCTGGACTTATTCGAAGGACCTAACATTGGATTCTTTTCTTTCTCTAAAAATACACTTCTTTAGGCTTTTACTTTGCTCTTGCTGTTTAGCTAAACACACTAGTAATGAAATTAAGAAATTATGAATTATGCTGGACACATTATGATGTGATACTTCTATATTTGTAAAATATTAAACATTTTATTTGGCATATCTTGATATTAAAATATTAAATATTAAAAGTAAAAATATTAAATCAAAGTTTATACAAATTTATCTCATCTATTTTAATTCTTTATCAAGCACTTCTTTACTCAATAATTTTCGTAACCTTCAATTATTTCTAAATCTCTGAACAGCATTCTCTTCAAATTCATACCTGTTTCTTTGCTTTCCCCAATGTAACTTTGTTCCACTTTGAGACCAGAGTATGTATAAAATCTCATTAAAAATGACTTATTATTCTAATTATAAAAATGAGCTCTTGTAAGTATTTCTCACTTGTCTCTCATAATCACTCTGTTAAGTATGACACAAAGGTAAAACACCCATATTAACAGAACTAGCATGTGGCAGAGGTATTCTGGCTCTTATTTCAATGTTCTTTCTATACTATTTTACCTCTAGTTAAATGATAGTAGCTCTGTTTGTGGGATATATTTAAATATGCAATATAGAAAATCATGTGGTTATGCATTATGGGAGTATGCAATAAATTTTATAACTGTATGGAGTTAAAAAGAAATATCATTACTTAGACTGTCCTCTCAATGGACTGTTGAAGTTATTTTTAAAAAGCCTTTGGAAGGAATTCTAAATCAATACCACACATCACAAATATTTAAAGAGTTTAAGCACTCACTGCTGCTTTTCTTGGTCCCCAAAGTTTGGCCATCTTCTAGAGAATTTGAACCTACTGAAGAACTATCTTGACTATCTTGATGGGGAAGTTGAAGAAACCCTTCACTGGAGTCCGAGCGGGTAGGTGTTAATGTTAGAGATTTCTGACGTTCCCGATTAATATCTTTCTTAGACTTTATCAATTTCCTCATTTTTAGAGTAATCCAGTTGCCCCTCCTGATAGAATAATTTAAAAAGTTCTTATCAGTCTAACATTCAACATATAACATTCAACATATAAATCTTTCATAAAATTAGAAGTTTAAAATATAACTTTCTTTTTCCAGAATAAAAATGAGTAACATTTGGTTAATAATACCTTCTGGGAGGAGATGGCTCATAAAATTTGTATTGATCCATAATTTTCTCTTCTAATTTCTCCTTTTGCCGTCTTAATTCATTTAATTTATCACTATAAAATAAAAATTAAATTTTAGGACATGCATCATATTTTGTATAGTTATAACAAAGTTTAACTTTGTTAAACTTTTGACAGAAATGTCAAAACTGAATGACAGAAATGTCATTCTGCAACTATGCTCTAACTTCTCCCCAAAACATAAACAAATACAGATACCACAGTTGACAACTAAGAATTTATTAGACAGTAACAATGGATTTTTACCAAGTTTCTCCTTTTCTTTAAAGTTACAACTTAATTAAATAAAAAAGTAGGATTTAAAGTTTCCATTCTTTAATAGGATGTTTGAAAAAATTTTCCGTGTTACAATCTCATTGTGACAAAGGAATTCTCTTAACACCTTTTTATAGCTATTAAACAATATTATATCAACACTGACTTTTTCCCTATTTTTGGAATGAAGGTTAATTTACTATAATTTATATAGGCAAAAATTCAAATAGTTTGCTTACAGTTACAAATATAGTAAGTAATCTTACAACTGCATCTTCATGCAAACTGATTTTTTTCCTTTGTGGCAGAATTATTTAGCCTTAATTTACTTGCAGAGAATTATTTCCTGCCTTCGGTAAGGTATGAATATACTACTTTCACAACATCTCATTTTTATGTTCTTGGTTGTATATATAATATAGAGAAAAATTACAGATCACAAGACTACAATAAAAGTAAAATGAACTATATAAAATCTGTGATGCCAAAGAATACTACAAACATTTAGTAATCATTTACAATGAGGAAGGCATGAGGTGATATAAAGATGAATAAGTAGCCCAGCTCTGCTTGTAATAGAGATGTTATATACATAAATGACTATTATAATCCAAGGCATCAGTGGTGCAGAATAAAAGTACTGTGGAAGTAAAATAGGAATTTATAAAAAGGAAAATATTTCTATCTTAAATGACCAAAGAAAAGCCTCATGAAAAAGAACAAGGTGATATTAGATAGAATGAAAAGGAAAGACAAGAATGCTAAATTAAGCAGTTTAGCTGAGGGGAAGCAGTGAGGGAGTTTGGGGTTACAATTTTGCTCAACAGCAAACCAGAATTATTGAAGGTTTCATTAAAAACATTATGAAATCTTTGTTTTAGGTACTTTAATTCAATGATAGAGTATGATGTATCGAAAAGGATGAAGGTAAAGGAAGCATTCATGGACAGTCTAGTGGCTAATGGACAGTCTAGTTGGAGATAAGGTTGAATTAGGGTAGCGGGAACTGGAAGAAACTGATTTGAGAGAGTACATGGAAGATGCTTTGTGAACAGAAGTTGCCAACAAGTTATACCACAGCACAAATAGCACACTGCCTAAACCTCCCAATTCTTTTCTCCTTTTCCCTGTTGAAATATCATCAGGAACCTCCAAATTTTCAGTACTACCTGTTCTTTGTCACCCCTGCTAGGACCATGGGGCACAGGCATTCCTGCAAAAATGTCTCACATGCAAGATGAATATTTTAATTTAAATTTAATAAGTCAGGATAGACACTAATATTTGTAAGTCAATATATAGATACAATTACTGAAACCCTAGAAATGGATTAGTCACCAAGGCTCAGAATATTAAGAGGATAAAGCTTTGGATAATACCCCTGCTTAAGAGACAGGAAATTCAAATGCCAAGAGCTTTAGATATACTCATTGCTTAAGCTAAAATACATCTTATGGCAGAGAGTAAAGGTATATACATACTCCTGAAAGAACTGAAGGTGTAATGCAAAGTGACCAGCCAAAAATGTGAAATTTCTTTGAAGTTTTGCATTTACCTTGGAAGTTCATGCAAGCTCTACTTTTGCTTCATGATATATCTGTGTATTAATATACAAATAATTTCCCTGCCCCAAATTTTATAATAAAACTAATGCTTCAAAAAATATTATCATGCCCTGGCTGGTGTAGCTCAGTGGATTGAGCACGGGCCTGCGAACCAGGCAATCATGGTTTGATTCCCAGTCAGGGCACATGCCTGGGTTGCAGGCCAGTTCTCCGAAGGCCAGTTCCCAGCAGGGGATGCACGAAAGGCAACCATACATTGATGTTTCTCTTCCTCTCTCTTTCCCTTCTCCTCGAAAGATAAATAAATAAAAATCTTTAAAAAATATTATCATGTATCCTGGGGTTTCATATATGTCCTGGCTCACCATCATGTGCATCATATTACTTCACTTATTGCTTAGGATAACCCTAGAAGTAGGCATTGTACCTCTGTTCTGAAACCAGTGATCAAAGAAATGAACTAAATATGGTCACATAACTAGTGACAGGAAGAATTGGGATTTGAATTTTAGAGCTGTCTGATTTCAATATCTGTGCTTTCTATTTTTACTATGGTGCCTCCCATTTAGTGACAAGGGGAAGAGAAGAATTTAGCAAAGGTGGATCGTGGTGTAATACAAAGACTACACACATGAGCTGCCCAGGCCAAAATCCATATTTTATCAGATTCTTCCACTCAGTGGAGACACAACTTACCAATATTAAGCCCTGTCAATTCTACTTCTCACATTTCTCTTGTATCAGATCCCAAATATCACCATTTGGAAATTATTTTTCATTAGATTATTGTACAGCCTTCATAAAACTTACTTCTTGTCTCTATTCTCAGAATCTCCAATACACAGTCAAAAATGCCACCCATTTTTTAAATGCACATATGATCATATTATTTCCTTTTTCAAATTTTTAAACTATTCCTTTGTATGGCATAAAAAAACCTTTGTGAAGTGACTCCTGAGTGTTTATCCACTTCTCTGCTGCTGCTCCTTCCTCAATTTTGCTCTAGCAAGAAAAACTATTTTTTAGATCCCATACCATACCACTGCATACTTTCATCACACTGCTGTGTTTTGTATTTGCTGCTGCATCGGCCTTGTATGCCTCCTCAGATGAACTCCTACTGAACCCTTAAGTCTCAGCTCTGGCAATCAACTTTGCAAAGTCCACCTTGCGTCTCTCAGACTAAGTTTGCTATATTTCTATGGCCTCCTACACATACCTCCATCATGACAATTATTTGTATTTCTCACTTTATATTACTAGTTCCTTAAGAGCAGTACTCATGTTTTCATGTTAGTATTTCTGATTATTAGCACAGAGCCTGGAACACATTAAAAAACTGTATGTTAAAATGATAATAATGTTAAAAAATGAGCATTGAGTTTTCTCTGCCACCAGAAATTGCACTTACAAAACCATGAGTAATATTTCAGAGTGCAAAATTATTTGGTACCTACATGTACTGTCTTTGTTCAACATGAAAAAGATCCTTGCTTTCCATGTTCTGCTCCAACAGTGTTCTGTTCTGTAGCATTAATGTCTGAATTTGATCTAGTAGATGTCGATTTTCTTCTTCTAAATTTCCTTTAAGTTGGCTTAACAACTGTTTAAACACAAACATTTATTTTTTAAAATACCAACATCTGCATTTAACATAAATCACCCAAAACATCTGAAAAATAAAGTACTTCACAGACTTACGTCTCCCACTATCTGAAAAATTAGATGGCCACATTTTGTTTGAATGTGATTAGTAACAAAGACAGTTTAAGAACTGGGTTATGTGCTGTACATATATATTTTCATAATTCTCACAAATACGGGGTTTAACATAAGTAAGTTACTAGTTCCAAAAGCTTCCTTTGAACTTGTTTAACTTATAGTCTGAAAGCTAGATTCAAACCTCTGGCCTTCTGTTTAAGTAACTATGAAATATTGGACAAATCAGTTAATTCTCTGAGCTTCAGTGACCTCATCTATAAAATGAGGATAATAATTTCCATCCTGCGAGATTTTTTAAAGGATTAAATAATATATGTAAAGTATCGGTGTCATGCCTATGGCATACAACAGATACTTAGTAAACTTCATTCTTCCTCTAAGCACTGTTTTCAAGGGACCTTAAAAAACTGTATATACTTTCTGTGGCATGAACAAAGGAGTCAGGTGATCTTGGCAATGATTGGTACTGCTAGCTCATATCACTGGTTGTTGGGCTGCTGGCAGCACTGGGCTGCTTTTTCTCTGTAGTAAAGAGGAAGTAGAAGGAAATATGCTTTAGTTAGGCCAGAGGATTCAACAGAAGTCAGAAAGTCCAAAGTGGTGATTTTCAAAATTTAGCATCATTTGTAAAGTATATATTTAAAAATGTAAATTTCTGGGTGCTAGCATTCAAATTCAGCAGATCTGGAATAGAGACCAGAAATCTGTATTTTTTTTAATGCTAACACTAACCCTTCCTCCTAAAAAATAAGATAAAAACCCCAAATATTTAAAAAATTATCAAAAGATATAGAAAAGCTATTTATGAGTATCCATAAACAGCCATCTAGATCTAACAACTATTAATACTGTGGTTTATTTATATATTATTACTCTGAAATATAATGTACAGATTCATTGCAAAATTGAATCTAGTTATCCTCCTCCCCATACTTATATCCTCTTGCAATGTGACTTCTCACTTTTCCCATCAAGAAGTGGAATCTGTTTTCTCTCTTCTAGAATTTGGAATGCCTTTGGCCAAGAGAAGGAGATGGAAGTGATGGTATGAGAGCTCCAAGCCCAGGACTCAAGAGGCCTTATGTGCCTCCATTTAGTCTCTGGAAATCCAATTGGAGGTTGAGAAACCATGTAAACAGTGAAGAGTTATAGTAGTTGTGGCCATCCTAGACCAGCCAGCCCTCAAAGTACATGTCAGCTCCCTGGAGATGCAGGAGCAAGCCCTACTAAGATCAAGTGATTTGGCTTTCACAGCAATACATGATCAGTGCATCTGCACAACTGACCCATGCAATGAGGAGCAAAAATAAATGTTTACTGTCCATTATGGTTGTTATACAGAATTATCGTGTCAACAGACATTGGTAAGACATGTATACAAAAAAGGAACACATTTTAGGTGTATACACAGCTCAATGACTTATTACGAAGTGAACATGTGTGTGAAACCAGTACCCAGATCAAAAAGCAGCACATTAATTGTATTCCAGAAACACTTATTGTGTTCTCCTCCAGTCACTATCCCCTCTCACAAAGATATTTATTTTTTCACTCCTTCCAAATTATCTGACTCAGCCCATAGCCAAAAGTCTACATTTGACTCAAGTTGGGACAATCAGCCAGGGTTAAGTAGGTAGGTTAAGAACCCCTCCTTGTCTCTCTTAAGCAGCCTTCCAGACTAGTAGTGACGTATAGGGCGTTATCAAGACCCACTATGACTGACTATCTCAACTAAGACTGACTATCTCATTCCTTAGATTTCACAGTTAATTTCTGGTGAGTTTGCTGACCTGTTACTTTGTCCCAACCAATATTTTAACCTCAGACTATCTGAGAGTTGGTCTTTGACAACACTTCTGGGCATAGGGCTTTTCTGTGCTCCACTCAAATCAAGCCAGGCCCCTCTAGTAGCAAAGGTGCTACTTTTCATGGCTTGCCTTGCACCCTGGCAGAAGTACCAGGTATTGAAACTAGGGAATTGGGAGGAAAATGAGAATGGGAGAAGTCACAATGCCTCAGATAACCACAGATCCTAACTAAAGTTGAGTAGTTTTTAAAAAGGCCTCTCAATCTGTTGTATGCTTTTGCTTGAGTTCCAGAGTCCTAAAATGATTATGTTTGGCAGTTTTATTGGATTTTACTATTGCTTGGGGAGTTGATTTGTCATGTTCCTCACTCTATCATTTTATAAATTTATCATCCCAATTACATTTTACTTATGATTTTTAATCACAGGCAGAATGAATGTTCTATAACTTCTAAGTTTTGTTGAGTATTTAAATATACAGTGTATGGCAAAAGTAGGTTTTATAGTCCTGAGTATGCAAAAACAGTATTATTAATTGTATTATTTTCCATATGAACTGTAAACCTACTTTTCCCCACCCTGTACTTGTTTTCAAAGATAATTTTTCTTTCTATTGGTTTATAACTTCAAAGAGCTTTTAGGTATTACTTTTCTTAATACTCTATCACTAATTTTTGTAAAGGTTTGCCTAAGTGCTGGTTCCCTAAAAGTTCCATGAAGTTCAGGGGTTAAGCTACATTCAAACTCCATAAAATAGCAAGCATAAAATTTAATGGTTATCTAAGACTTCCAGCATCCTTTTTATTCAAAACATTTAGCACTTTATCAAACCACTGTAGGAAGGAGCATGAAATTATGTTAAGAACAGAACTGTGTATGTAGACATATGTCATTTCCATTCAAAACCCTCCAAATGACTCCCAATTTTACTCAGAATAAAAGTCAAAGTTTTTTACAAGGCAACATATCTGGCTCAGGCACATCTCTGATCTCACTCCCACTACTCTCCCCTTTGCTCAAGCCATTCCAGCCAGATGGGCCTCCTTGAGCGTTCCTCAAACACACCTGGTCTTAAAGTCACTGCCTGGACTGCCTGGAATATTCGTTCCCCAGATATCACATACTAATAACTGAATCTCCTTCTTGAAAATTCAATGATGCCTAGTTAAAATTTCAATCTATACTCCCTCTTGTGCCCTGCCAGTCTTTATCCCCCTCTACCTTATTCCATTTTTAGTTGTACATAGCATCACTTCGTAACATACAATATGTTGCAGGCTAATTTTCAAAATGGTTATAGCAGTATTTCCAGTCCACGTGCTTTTCCAGAATCTTGCCATTCTCCATCAAGAGCCTGAGTCTATTTCTCTTCCTCTTGAACCTGGACAGGACTTTGACTGCCTCAATAAATAGAATGCAGGGAAAATGACACTGCATGACCTCTGAGGCTGATTATTAAAATAGAGATAGATGGCTTTTGTCTGGTTCTCACCATGCTGTGAGAAAGCCCAAACCAGCCCATGGGAAGAGACCACATGGAGAGGGAATTGATACCTCTGGCTGATAACCAGCATCAACCACCAACATGCACTCAGTCTTTCAACCTTCCAGTTGAGGGCCCAGCTGCAAGTATAGCAGAGTCAAACTGGCTCTCCGTAACTGTCCAAATTCTGACCCACAGAATGTGTAAGCATAATAAATGGTAGTTTTATACCACTAAGTTTTGGGGTAATTTGCTACACAGCCATATGTAACAAAACACGAAACACTATATCTTGATATTTCACTTACTTACTATGTTTATTGACTGTTTTCTTCCAACCAGAATACAAACTCCACAAGGAGAGAAAGTTTTAACTATTTGGTTTACTAATACATGCCAGGTGGCCAGTAACATTTTTTTCATTAAACAAGGACATGAATTTACAATTTTCAAAGTATCTGAACATATAAATTTGAATAGTAAAAAAATTTTGGAATTAATAATAAAGGAAGTTTTTCTGTGTGTTTTCTACCCCTGACCAATTCTTTTAAAAATACCCCACTAACTATATATATTGCTAATATTATTATAATGTCATTGTTTAGTTTTTAGGTGAGTCTGGATGCCTAAAGGAAGGAAGACAGTGATTAAACCTGTGAAAGCTCACCTCACACTGGTTATTTAGCTTGGTGGATGTAATGTCCAACTGTTGGTATTGTTCCTTTAGCTTTGAAAATTCAGCTTCTAATCTTGTTTGCTCTAGTTTGGAATTATTTAGAAGACTTTTCAAGTTTTTATGGTCAGTTTGTAAAACTTCGGTCTCTTTTAAAAGCTGATTATATGTATGATTCAACCTACAATTTGAAATCATGATAAAAATAGAATTAGATTCTCTTAAGAGCTTTTATTTATACAATGTGAAAATGCTGTATATTACATTCAGACATACTTAGAGCATATAAAGAATTCTTTTGCCAGTTACTACTACACTGATCAAGAATCAGTTTCTATTCTGTAAAAACCAATTTTTTAAAACAAATTAAATGTTTTTTCCCTTAAAATGAAATCTTCCAGCATTTAAATACATTAAAAATATAGACATGCAAAATTTTATCATATGAAATTTGAAGTATTAAGAAAATTTTAGATTAAATTACAAAAGAGAAAATGATCAATCTAGTTTTGATTTCATAGCAAATTCAAAGATTCTAAAATTCAATGTGAATATTCAAGAAAGACCAATCAGATCAAAAGAATTAACCAATTCAGGATGGGACATGACAGTCCATCAATCTGTTGCCACATAACTGAGATATTCAGGCTTAAACCAAAATTTTAGTTATTGAGATTTCTGCAGTTGAAGCAAATTACACACGTTTACACAGTCAGTCCCCAATTATTAATGATAAATTTTAGATTTTTTTGTAAAAGTCAAACTAGAACCGTTTCTTTTTCTTTTCACAATTTTACCTTTAGAACAACATCCACTGACCTCTAGAAGCAGTGATCAGCAAACTTTTTCTGTAAAGGATCACAGAGTAAACAAAAACCTTAGGCTTTTGAGCCACACGAGGTCTACAGCAAACCTGTCTTTTTTGTTTTTCCCACAACCATTTAAAACAACAATTTTCAACTGATGTGCTGCAAAAAAATTTTCAAACATGCAACACTTGACTACTTTGTCAGGAGCACTGACCTCTTTTCTCTCAGACTGTCAAATTAAAAAGATGACAACAGTGAATAAAACAACAGCCATCTGGTATAAATGAATAAAAATTATACCTATTTTTTTTTGGTCAGATCAGCAAAAAATATATATTTTTGGTGTGCTGCAGAATTTTAGTAATTAGTTTATGGGTGCCATGAGATGAAGAATGTTGAAAATCGCTGGTTTAAAATGTAAAAATTGTTCTTAGTTTGAGGGCTACATCGAAACAGTGTACATGCTGGACATCTGGACTGCTGAACTGGCTATCATTACAATTTTTATCTTATGTCATTAAGATCAGGAATCCACAAAAGGAGGAGGTAACCAAACAAAACAAATTTTTTCTCAGGATGGTACTTTTTCAGAACATCTAATAATTTAATTCAACTCATTCTCCAAGAAAACTGAGTCAGCTTATTAGAATAATAAATAATAAAATAATACACTTTAAAAAATCAAGACTTGGTAAAAAAAATAAAATGGCAAGACCAGAAACATAAAACAAGTACATGCTCCATAAACAAGTCAAATCAATGAATGAATGCATGCCATGAGTATTAACACCTAGTCAAATCTCATTGTGACATATGATAGCTACATATCATATCACCTACAGAAATTAAAGAGTTCCCTACTGAGGCTTTATGGAGGGCTGGATATAAAGAGATATAATATACAATGTTCTTAACATCATCTCTATGGGAAATGCTGAAGTGAGCTCTTTAAGAGAGATTTTTACACTGTCCTTCAAAGCTAAGAACATCAACACGAAAATGCAATTCAGTGGACACAATTCTAAAGAGGCCAAGACAGACTAGTCCACGGAAGAAACTTTCTTGGTCTGGCATTAAATAAGATTACCATTTAGGTTATTCAGAGGAGTGGATAACTAGTATTCTACACACAAGTCTGCATAAGTATCTTTTTCTGGTGAAAACACCACTTCCAGGTTCTATTTAAAACCTTCCCTTTCTATAGAACACAGACATAAGTGAGTAAAACTGGGCAAGAACAGATTTGAGAGACAAATGGACAGGACCACTTGTCCCTTCCAAGCCTGTAGAATCTTCTGGTTCAGGCTTATTGTGCTCAGTATGTTCCTATCCTTTTGGATGAGCTCCTTCTCTGGTGGTTCCACAGTAATGTGTAAAATTAGACTCCTGGAAGGCCTATTTAAATTCACAAACTGTCCCAGTTTGGTTTGAATTCCAACAATGGAAAAAGTTAGGTTCAACATAGGACTTTCACAGTACGTGGGTTCCCCATTGTCACATATGTAATAAAAATGACCTTGTCTTTGTATTCCATAACTTGTCACAATTTGGTCTTCTACTGTATATATGGTACAAAGACATCCTCCTTGATTCTAGCTTGGTGTTGAGCTCGTTGAAGTTCAAATACCGCAGTAGAGAATTTCTAATTATAACAGCTACTAAATTAAAAACTACTGAGCATGAAAATGAAACTGTCTCTAGAAGTTTAGGAATATTTTGTTGTTGTTTTTAAGGAAAGGAGTAGCCGTTTAATTCTAAAAATGCATTGTATTAAATTCATAAAAGGACAAATTATATACATGACCACATTTGAATTTTGTGTGCTTCAGCTATGGTAGTTTAACTGCAGTGCACATGTTTAGGCTATTTAAATTTTTCATAGGTTTCTAAAACAACCTTTGAAAATGTACCCTTATGAAGCAAGCTGGTTACCAGTGGTAAGTTTTGATTTTCCCAAGGCTTTAAAGTTAAAAAATAATTGCCCCATGGCAATATGAGACCATTAATACCAAAGCCAGTTAAAATAAAAGTATGAATAAATCAGCTAGAAAATTATAAGGCTGCTCACTTGTAGTAGCAACTTCAAAAGAAAGGAACTGGGATACCAAACTAGCAAAAAGAAAGATATAAAGAATCAGGTTTTATTACATTCTGTTTCAATAAAGTATGCAAATACTGTCAAGGTACAGAAATTTAATTACATAATGTGGCTTAAAAACTTAATTAGGTGCTCGCTTCAGCAGCACATATAATAAAAACTTACTTAGTTGAATAAATCAAGAGAGAAACAATGAGAGAGAAGAGGAGATCCAGGTTCCTGCCTGAGTCATTCTATAATTAGCTGCATGATTTTGTTGGGTAATTTACTTATTACTGGGGTTTTCTTTTAAAATTCTAAGTTATGGATGGTATTACAAAGGGGCAGTATACACTTTGGATGTAATGAATAATACTACAAAACTAAAATATTTAAATATTTATTACCTATCATTTTCACCACAAAGTTTCTTGTATTCTGCAGCTACAGTCTCATGGTTTTTGTTTTCAAGCAGCATTTTTTCCTGTTCTACTTTCAGTGTTTTTTCCAAATCTTCCAATTGTCCTTTCTGCTTTAGTAGCTGATTATAACTGGAAAAAAAAAGGTACTTGGCTTAAAATATTTCCATATAGAGAAAAATATTTTAGAATTAAAAAGAATATTTTATTATATATATCACAAAACATGCAACTTTATACAAATCCCCTATATAATTGCTTAGACCTGTTTAACACAATGTTTATTAAACTACCCACAGAAAATTGGTTTTAAACAAAAAACACAGAAAATGTAATTACCGGTCTTCAAGGTCTTTATGTTCCACCTCAAGATTTTTGTGGGCAGACTTTAGACTTCCATGTTTAGCAATCAGAGATTCATACTCTGAAGCCTGACGCTCATGAAGAAGTTCCAGTTTCTCATGATCTTTAATCAGAGAATCATAGAGAGATTTCAGGTCTTCTCGTTCTTTGATTACAGATTCATTTTCATTTTCTAAGGAAGACTGCTGGATTAGGAGTTGTGCATTCTGATTCATAAGAGAAGTACTTTGGGAATTAAGTGTGGAGTTTTCAACCTATAAGAAGGCATATTTTTATTAGACAAAAATAGCTTATGTTATCCTTTATTTTTTTAAATAAAGATTAGATTAATTTCAGGAAGCTCTAAATAAAACAAAGAAGATATAAAGGTCTGTCCAAAAAAAGTCCAACCATTGTTAATACAGTGAGAATGATTTGCACAACACTGATGTAACCTGGAAGCCAAGGAAAGTGGACTAGAATGCACATGCATGAACAATGACAAGTTCACTGTACTAGTCATGTACTACTACTAGTCATGTACTACTCAATGGCCCATAGATGCCATTGAGTGTGCGTGTGTATTGTGTGGCCACCACATTCAAAGTGACTGAGTGAGTAGAGCAATGAATCTGCATCACATTTTGCGTTAAGCTTGAACATTCCTCTGTGGAAACTATTCAAATGATTCGGAATGATGCCACAGCTATGGGTAACTATGAATGGCAGCTTTATTATGACAACAAACCCACTTATGCATCACATCTTGTGCAGAGTTTTTTGGTCAAACATCAAATCTCCCAAATGACTCAGCTCCTCTATAGCCCAGATTTAGGGCCTGGCGACTTCTGGCTTTACCCAAAACTAAAATCACTTTTGAAAGGGAAAAGACTGTTTATGAGATTCAGAAAAACATGATGGGGTAGTTGACAGCGACTGGGAGAACTGTTTGAGGTCCCAATGTGCCTATTTTGAAGGGGACCCAAGGTATCATTGTCCCACACCCAATGTTTCTTCTGTCTTCAATAAATGTCTCTATTTGGCACAATACATTGCTGTATACTTTCTGGACAGAACCTGTATGCACAATTACACTGAGAAAATTTGGATTGTAGTGTCCTAAACAACAAGGCTATAATTTAATTTTGATTTTTGGTAGGTGTTACTATACACACACATATGATATATGAGGTCTACATCATACATATGTTTTAAATGAATTATTTTAAATGAAAGTGGTTAGCAACAATTTGTATTTCATTAACAAAAAAGTATAGAATTTAAAATGCAAATTTATTGTTTTCTAGAAGTGAGAGTTAACAGAACTGAAAAATTATTACTTTGTGGAAAAATTATTACTTGTGGAAACAGGACTGGATATTTTCTTGAATCTAAATTAAATTAGCATTTGCTTTACCATTTATAAAAGTTACAGAAAAAATGACTTTTACACTCAGAGACAGAACTTGTTTTCTTCTGTTAAGAGGTTTAAGAGTTGCATGTCTCCCACCTGATCACCCTATTTGAAAAAACACTGGCAGTCTAGCATATCACCCTGAACGTACCCAATCTTGTCTTGTTAAGTGCAAGATGGATCCTTTGAACTAAGGACAGTTCTGAAGACAAAAATTCTCATATTATATTCTTTTCCAGTAACTTACTGATAATAAAGCATTAAAAATGAAACACGGAATGGTATGCTGCAACCATACTCTAAGGGTTTCTACCTGATTAATTATAATCAACTTGTTTATGGTGAGAGGCCATAAAATACACATAGATAAAATTATGCTTATTGTATTTATATTTGTTAACTAAATTTATTAACTAACATTTAGGGGCTCTGATATTTTGAAAATGTTGATGTCTGAAAGTTTGGTGTAGCACTAGATAGAAATATTTAACTTATCTTCAATTAATTGTTATATTAACTTACTATGAAGAAAATGTTACCACATCTAGTCACCCTTATTTTAAAGTGTAGTTTAAGACTTTGGTTGCATATTCCGCCCCCCCATAATTACATTACAACCTGAAGCTTGGCGTTCTGTGTTTGAAGAGTAGTGTTCTGCTCCTGTAATGACACTGTCTGCCTCTGAAGTGCAAGAATCTGAGCCTGCAAGTTATTGTTCTGTGTCTCAAGTTGCTTCAGTTGAGTTTTCAGCGCTTGCTTCTCTGCTTGCAGTGTAGCATTCTTAATAAACAAAACACACATAATAAAAATAAAATATCAAACTATTTAACAGATACTGAAATTTTATACATGTATTTATTACCATTATAACAGGAAAAAAACAATCCAAACAATCTTAAAAGAAAAAACATTTCCCCCTCCCAAGTTAGTAAACATATTTCAGAAAAAGAAATAATCATAAAACCTTAATAGATTACTGTGTCTGTCTGCTTAAAGAATGTCTAAAAAAATGAAATACTCCATTACAAATATATTGAGTAACACAAGGAACTAGAATGTGATTGTCAGTTGTATAATTTTTACGCTGCTCAAGAGTGCCCAGCATGTCCAGAATGCGTGTTGGGGCTGTTTCTAGTCAATGGAGTGCTCCTTTTCTAATTGCCCAAAGGTGTGTGTAAGTGTGTGGTCACAAAGATAGCAGCAAAACCAAGTATTTTGTAAATACAAATATTTGGAAGAGAAGTAGAAACAATCTTAACCACCTGTTTAAATTTTTTAGTGCATAAAAGACTTAATAGGTGTTACATATTTTCTTTAGAAATTTTATTCATGGTATAAAACACTCACTAAAACTCTATTTCATCTGTAGGACTTCTAGCACAAATCCAAACAAAACATACCATTTTCAATTTTTCTAGTATATATGGCCATATTTCAGTTTTATAGTTAAACAGCTGAATTACTGTATAAATCATAGATCTTCACACTTAATGTTCTAGATTTTACAAATGTTTGTCATAAATATTACATTTTCAGGATTATTTCTAAATAATATTTCATTAAAAATTAGCATAGAAATATAAACAAAGAACCCTCTAGAAAACCAAAGTCTAATACTTTAATATACAAAATGGCCAGAATTTGTATATAATTGCAATGTGCATAAAAATTTACAAATGAATCCCAACAAATCACTTTTATCCTATCTACATTAAGGAGCAAAAATAACATTTCACTTTATAGGGTCTCATGTTATATATACACTACTTGTCACTGCATAAAAGACAAGTCATGATGTAACCCACATATTATACCATAAAAATCAAAACCAAGAAAGTAAAACGCTTCAAGATCGCTTTTCCTACTGGATTGCTTCTTTTGTTCATTTTGTTGAAATAAAGAGGATAAAATATGTATATGGAAAACACTATATAGAATACACCAAAGAGGTAAATCATTTTCCAGTTACATATGTTAAGTACTACTGTGGTTCAGCTCTTTAGAAACCAAAATATACATTCTCCAGTGATCCTAGGAATAAGAAAAATTCCTACAGTGTGTAACAAATGGAAGAGATAGCTGAGAGCAGAAAGGATATCTCGGAGCAGGGAAAATTTACAACGAGAAAGTTTGTGGTTAGCAAATACACTGGCAAAAACACAAAAACTTACCTAATATAGGGTTAGCTATCTTTATAATCCCCTTACATAAAATGACTAATATGACAACCAAGTAACTTTTACCCCAATGGAAATTTTTAAAGGAAGTCAGTGGGAAAGAGATTCTGATTATAGGACTTAATATGCCTGCCAAATTGTCTGACATGTAATTATTAATCTAAATGATAGAGGTATATACATGTATATATCATTGAATAATTAAACATGTGTATTCATACATGGCCTATAAATATATGAAAAATATAAAATAGATTGCTATCATTTAAGCATGCAAATTAAAATATTTTCTCCTATCACTTTAACAAAAACTAAAAGGCTGCTAAAACCCAAAGTTATTCTGGAAAAATAGGTACTCTAGTACTGGGACTGAAAATTAATGTGATTTTGAAAGACTAATATAGTATCAAAATTATGCAAATATGCACTCTAATATGTATATATCCCCTTTAGACTAGCAATTTAACTGTCAGGAATTTACCATTCTATGAACATATTTATACATAGATTTTCATTGCAGCAAAATCTGAGGAAAAAGCCCCTAAATGTCCATTGATATGGAATTTATTTAAATAAACTATGCTAATATATCCACATTATGGAATAAGTAGTTATTAAAATGAGACAGATCTACATTTGCTAAAATAGATCTCTAAGACAACATAATTGAAAAATTCAAGTAAAAATAGTATATATGATTCCACAGGTGTATATTTGTAAAAGACATATACTTTTGCCCTGGCTGTATGGCTCAGTTGGTTGGAACATCATTCTGTACACCAAAAGGTTGTGGGCTGAATCCCTGGCCAGGACACATACCTAGGTTGTGGGTTTGATGCCCAGTCAGGGTGCATAAGGGAAGCAAATGATCAATGTTTCTCACATTGACATTTCTCTGTCTCTCTCTATCTCTGTCCCTCCCTTCCTCCCTTCTTCTCTCTCTAAAAATCAATAAGCATATCTTCAGGTATGGATTTTTTTAAAAAAGAAAGAAAATATACTTTTTAAAAACATTTTTAGAAATTAATTAGAGAGAGAGAGAGGAAGGGAGAGACAGACAAAGAGCGAGAAACATCAATTTGTTGTTCCACCTATCCACACACTCATTGCTTGCTCCCTGCATGTGCCCAGACTGGCAATTGAACCTGCAACCCTCATGCAAGGGGATGACACTCCAATTAACAGAACCAACTGGCCAGGGCAAGAAATATACTTTTATACATAGATAAACCACAAACATTTTTTATGGGTAAGATGTTCATAGTAATTATTATTGGATAAGAAAGTAGAAATCAATGGTATAAGAGATTAATTTTTGGGGGGTGGGCTGGGATGGGAGTAAAGGACAGAAAACTGTACTTGAACAACAATTAAAATAAATTTAAAAAATAATTTAAAAAGAAAAAAGGGATTAATTTTTGGCCTAAAGTTTTAAATTAATGTTATACTGAAAAACAATAACCACAACTATTTTACCTGTTGGGATGCGACTTTCTAAAGCCTATTCATCTTCGAGCATGTTTGTTGAATTCATTTAATTATTGTTTACTGGACTCATTCAGCAAATATTTAAGTGCTTGCTATCTACCAGGCATTATTCTACATACTGAAGGCACAGAGGTGAAACACAAAGACAAACTACCTGCTTTCGAGGAGCTTTTTTTTTAGTAGATAAACAACAAATGCATAAATAAATAATGTAATTTCATAGGTAAAAAGTGCTATGAAGAAACTAAATAAGGCAGTGGTGTGACAGTGATCAATTTAGGCTGGAGATAGCTTCTTTACTGAGGAAAGTGGTCAGGGAAGACATCTTGCAGGAGATATATGACATGAGACCTGAATTCTGAGGGAAGCCAGCCAATGTTTCCAGCAGGAGAAGCAAACAGTAAGGTCTGAGGTAGAAACAAACAGAAAAATGCCAATATGACAAGCACTAATTTACTTTAGTTATGTGCCAGGCATTGTTTTTTGTGTTTTCCAGACATTAACAGATAATATTGTCCCCAGATTAATAAACAGAGTGAATAGACGGGTGGTATGGTACTAGGCCAGGTATGGCAATGTCAGGAAGGACCGATCTTACAGTACACAGCAAAGAATTTGGATTTTATTTTAATTCAAATGGGATGCTACTGAAGATCTTAAGTATGAAAGTGACATGGTTTCTGTTATGTTTTTAAAAATAACTTTGACTATTGCATTGAGAAAGCATTAGATTGGGCCAGGAGTGGAAGAGGGAAGGCCAATTAGGAGGATATTTTAATAGTCCAGATGAGAGATGATGGCACCTTGCACTAGAAAGGTAATAGCAAAGATGGAGAGAAGTCAACAGATTTGGGTTATATTTTGAAGATGGAGATGACAAAGCTTGCTGATGGACTTATGTGAGGAGGATGGAGAAAAATAAATTAGAGTTCTTGTCTTTACATTACAAAAATCAATCAAGAAAGTATAAAATGAACAAAGCTACAAACACAGATTAGATACATTTTCTGAGTTATATATTATTTCTAAAAATCCTTATTCCTATTAAACATTTTAAAATACTTACATTTCTTTCTACTTCAATTAATCTGTCTTTTACTTTTAGAAGCTCTCTGGTTGTTTCTTGACTTTCTCGCTCCCATTTGCTATCTTCACCAGAAGTTGAAGGAGGGCTCTGTAGCATCCTTTCCTCATCTTGTCTCTGTTTAAGGGCTTCATAATTCTTTTTCACCTAAAATTTTATTTAAAATATTTTAATGGGGGAAAAAAATCACCTAAGTTCTATTTTTCACCTAAGTTCTATTAATTTGACTCTGCATTAGTCTGATGAGTGTGAGACACGTTTTATTTAAAAATATGATGTACAGATAATGTATTATGAAATTGTACACCTTAAGCCTATATAATTTTATTTATAACCAATATAACCCCAATAAATTCAATAAAAATAATTTTAAAGAGGGAAAAATACAAATAACATAAACAATTTTCACTATTAGCATAACCACAACTTATGCTTTGTAAAATACAATTCTTTTCCTCTTAGAAAATGTTAAATATCCTCTGCTCATGCGCCACACTCCTACAATATATTCTGTAATTTCTTCTATTGTTTATGATAAAAATGTTGCTGAAGACTAAGACACTTGCTAAATACCAACAACTGTTTTACAGCTATATCTATAGCTGATTTAGAGATTTCAGAGATGCCCATGTAAAGAACAAATACAGGTTTGTAATAATTGCACAAATACAGACATGTAATAATTTCTCTTAAAAAGAGATCTAAATTATGCCCTGGTTGGTGTGGCTCGGTGGATTGAGTGCTGGCCTGTGAACCGAGGAGTCACCAGTTCGAGGTCCATCAGGGCACATGCCTGGGTTGCAGGCCAGATCCCTAGTTGGGGGTGTGCAATCAATCGATGAATCTCTCACACATCGATTGTTTCTCTCTTGCTCCCTCGCTTCGCCACTCTCTAAAAATAAATAAATAAAATCTTTTAAAAAAAGATCTAAATTAAAATTGAGGAAGGATCTACATGTCTGCCCTTTCATGAAGGATATGTTGCCCAGAATGAGCTGTGTTAAACAAATTAATGACTTGTTTATTCAAATTTTGATCTATCACTTATAATTACTGTAATTCACTTGATAAGGAATGAACAATCCAAGGATATATCTTATCAAAGATCTTCTGGTGTGACTACAACCAAATCCTACTTTAAGAGAGCCAGCTCAAAATGAACAATTTGGTCAACTTACATTACCAAAATTGCTTCTTAATTTAATAGCTCTCTTCAATTTGATAGGATTATTCTTACACTTATCCTGAATCACTAATTTATCCTAGGAGACATTTTCATAAATTTCTAAATTAACCCAAACTTTTTATTAAGGCAAGGATAAACACTTCAAATAATTCAACTTTTAATGAACATTTTAAGAAACCTTATGACTCAACAATAAAATCTGTTACTATTGAGTTAGAAAATAATGATGTGAGACTAAAGGAAAAAGAGCCAAGACAGAATGTAATTTAAAGCTTGGCAAGGGATCTAATACATGTTTTGAGATCCAATAATACTTTAATAACATAGATGAGTGACATTATTTCCAGTCTCCTATTTTACATTAATTTCCCACAGGGTCTTTTTTCCTCCTAGACTTAAAAAGGTTATAGACATATGCCATTATTAAGAAGAACTGAGAATCTCAAAGCTTTTCATCGTTAGACCATGGTTCTTACAACTAAATTTTGAACAAGGTTCCTTTATGTGCATTAATCAGAATCTCTAATTTATGTTCACACAAAAAATAAAACATCATTTTCCATCAAGGTTCCTTAGAAGCAGCATATAGGTAGATAGGTCTTGCATTTTATCTAATCCATTAATCTCTTTTACCCAGGGTTTCACATCTTTTATATTTAATATGATTATTGGTATGATTTGATTTAAAGCTGCCATCTTGCTATTTGTTTTACATTTGTCTAATGTGTACTTTGTTCTACCTTTTTAATTTTTCTGCCTTCTTTTGGATTTTTTTATAATACTATTTTATCCCTTTTGCTGGCATGTTAGCCATACCTCTTTGTCGTGCTAGTTTAGTAAAGTTACTTTAGGCCTTATAGTATTCACATTTAACTTTCATAGTCTATCTTCAAGTGGTATATGTTTTCATATATTACACTTAAAGTTAGAACAGTGTAATTCCAACTGAATGTGTGTTTATGGCAGGAAGCCAGTCCTGCCATAGTAGTTATGCCAAAATGGCTGGAAGTAAAAGATGATGATGGAATTTTAAATATCCACCCTTTAGACTAGGAATACATATATACCAACTCATATGCAAACCCACTTATTTTCTAGCTGAATGGCTTCATTAGTTGACTTTACTTGTAATCTAGTTATACTGCTTAATATAGTAAAAAAATTTAAGAAATAAAACAGATTAATCAAATCTGGCACCAAATTTTCCTTAGTTTTTGGATAATCCTTTATGTTAACAAAGTTCTAAAATTTCTTCTCTAACAATACTTGTTCCATGGTAATGTCTGAGACAAATACCAGCAATGATGGTAAGGACAAATGAGGAACAAAATCTTTTTTTCCTTTCTGTATCAGAAACTGATCTGGTAAACTTTCTCTATAAACCTGTTAAAATTGGAATGTTCTATGTTACCAGGCAGGTTTGCTTATGGGAAATATGACCTCTCATTGGTAAACTGTATTTAGACTGGGAGAACTAGAAATACCTAATAGAAAACCGTATCTTTGAACTTCTCTTGAGTGCAGTAACTCTTAAAATTGGTAATAACTATTGTGGAGATCTTAAATCTAACCCTTGAAGCTGTTGCAAAAGATTATAACTGCTGTGGAGCATAAGGTCTTAAAGCCATGGAAGTTCCCACACACATCCATCATGAATCTCACTTGCATCTGAATTGTCATCTGGTGAGAAGACTCTCAGACAACCATGTGAAGAAGGACACCTGACAGTGCCATGCTATCTACTTGTATCTTATGGTATTCTGAATCAAATGGTACTCAATGTGGCCTATAGCAATCTTGTAAGGTTGAATATTTAGTTGACTATAAAACCATTCCTAGAAGCACTACAGAGATGTTAAAGACAGAATAAACCAGAATATAATCCCCTCAATCTAGTATATTAGCCCAATGGAATGGGCAAGTCCCTTCATTTTCAATTTATTCATGTAGGAAAAACAGACAGTTGCCCCTACCTTGTTTAATTCACTGAATAAATCTAAACATCACAAGAAAACAGATCCTGGAAAAACCCTCAAAATTTATGAGATCAGGTGCTTTCTTGTACTACATATGATTCCCCTCAACTTGGTATTCTCATACCTGCATCTTTGTCTATCAAACTTCTAATCTGGATTCTCAATAGGAAAAAAGTATCAGAGTGAAGTGTTAGTACTGAATTGAAAGCTTTTACCCATGAAATAACCGTGCCTTTTCCCTACCCCACTCTCACCACTCTGGTATGTCTTTAACTGTATGGGGGCATACACACATGAAATAGGACTGAACAACTTATAGTGCATAGAAAAAATACAGTTTGTTATAAACTACATGATAAAGATCTATTTAAGAACACACTCAAATTTAAGAAAAAACAAAATACTAATAAAATAATGTTATAGTTTTATTTTCTACTTTATAATTTTCTCTACAAATATTTAACAGTTAAAATTCTTTCTAAGGAAATCACTTACTGTCTTAAGTTCTTGGCGCAATTGCTGGTTATAATTTGTAGATTCTTCTAATCGAGCTTCTAAAGCAGCAATTTTTTCCTCTTTTATTTCAAGAGACTTCTTTAGAGTGGATTCTAATTTTGATTCCAAAAGTTTGTATCTACTATGCAAGTATAAAAATAATAAAAGTTTGTTATTGGTGGTCAGAAAATTATTTTTAAAGATAATTTATGACCACAGACACTTGTGCCATAAATAGATCTTACAATATAGTTTCTTTTTTAACTGGCAAATTAAATTAATCTCCTCTTAATGCCCCAGTATCACCCTTTAAAACTATTCCTGGTAATGAAAAACAAAAATCACTGAGTAAACAGAGCTCCAGATTATAGTCCACATTGTCAAAAGCAAAAATTAATATTTGAAAGAGGCATGATATACTGTTTAGTTTTATAAGTCTTAAAATATTCCTTTCAGTTTTATAAGACTAGGCTCTATAAAAAGTAAAGTACTTATTATATAATAAAACATCTGTCTGTAATATTAAGTGTAAAGTATTTACATAAGAACATACTAATATTTAAGACTCAAAATTCACTGAAGATTTTGTCTTCAGTATATAAAGTACATGCAGAATATTCTAAAAAGCGAATGGTACACTACAGACACAGGACACTGGTGACAGAGTGAGAAGAGGCAGATAGATGTGAATGTCAATATTTCAGTTATCTTTTTTAATGGTGTGTTCATGAATAATTACATTATTCTTGTTCTTTTTACAGTATGAGAGTACATCATAAACTAGGAATTATGACTAATACATGTCTTACACCCAAGAACCTGATGACAAAACCAAATTAAAACCTAAAGTATATAATAAACAATTTAATAATATTCTGTTGTGCACTGTAATTAATTTATATATTTTCTGCTCAACCAGGTTTTAAGTTCATTGAGAACAGAGAACAGATTTCACTCACTTGGTGTCAGCTTGAGTTAACAAACATTTTCAAAGCATTTAATGAGTCTGTCTTTGGATGTTGAATCTGTGATGCCTGAGTTGCTTCTGGACTGTCCAGTAAGCAGAGAATAATAATGGATACCAGGTGAAATAATGCGAATGTTCAGCAACAGAATGAAGTGATAAAAGGCCTGAGAACCTAACACTAGGAAACTATACTGAAAGAAAAGACACAAGAGTTGTTAAAACAGAAAGACAAAAGTGATTGCATAGCATTGTTCACAACTCTAACACTGAATTTGCTTTGCAGCATTTTTGTTTATCTATTTATACATTCAATTCCTCAACTAAACTATTCCTTTATGGCAAGAATATCTTAATAACTGTGTCTTCGAAGGAGGGTAGAGGGAATGACATCAATTGGAATGATGAAAAGATTAGACTAACAAAATTAATGACAACATCAGAGATAAAAGGTAAAGACAAATGCAGATATACATAAATTCCAAGATGGAGGAGAGGAATGTTAAAGTAACTTATGTCTGTGAGCTTCTATATTCTCTCTTGCTTAGAATATTACAATACCTTCCTAATTGGTCTCTGTGCCTCCAAATTGCCTCTATTCTAATCTATCTTTCATGTCACTCTTAAGAATTGCCCCAGACACTTCTGTGCTTTATTCTCCAGTTTCCACTTTGCAAATTTCTGTCATTCTTCAAGGTTTAGACTAAGCATTATCATTTCTTTGATGCCTGATAATCAGCAGAAAATAAAAGAGCTCAATTAACATTAACCAACTGTATGAATTAAGGTTTGACAAGAGGTACCAAACAGTATGAAGGGCCTATCTAAAGCCGGGTTCATAAATTTGTAACACAAGATCAGTTAGGGCAACTACACGGTTTACCCTACTTTTTGGGGGAGGGGAGTCAATTTTTTAAATGTCTTACAAATGGCAGGTAATAAATCTATTTGAATAAAGAAGTGATGCATATTCAGTATGTATATTAAGAGACAGTCAACTAAGTTGGCCCTTGACTATCTGTTTAAATGAATTTTTTTCTCATGATATACCTATAAAGTTAATTTAATTATGGATGCTTGATTTGATTACTAGAATAAATGCCTCGAATAGCTTCTATTATTATAGAACTAACCTTTAAAAATATCAATGTTCTATTAACTTTAAATTTCTCAAGATTACATAAACAAATCCCATATAGTCAGCATTAATTTTTCCCTATATAATTTGATTAGAAGAAAAATATTTACTTTAATTAATGATAGATGATAAATACAAATCACTAATTAAAAAAAATCCAATGAATTAAAAGCTAGCCTACATAAAACAATTTTCATAACAATACACACTTCTAGCTGGAATCATGTAGCTGATTAAATGCTAACTAGTAGACTACTTGAAAATCTGATTGTTTGACAAACTGTAATTACATGTAACAAAAATTTTCTTTCAAACTTCATTGATCATTCTCAAAATTAAATGGTGTATGTTAATCTTTCATTCTGTTTGTCAAGCCTTATTTTTCTACCTTATTTTTTACTCCTGAATTGCTTCTCAATACATTTTTCTTTGTTACACAGTTTTCTTCCATTTCTCTTTAAGTCCACATTTTGGCACCCAAAATAATAAAAGAATTGAGGCATTTAAGCACATAATTCAAATAAAAAAATAACTTGCTTAAACTGAATGCATATTTCACCAGAGAGGGGTTTGTTTTTTGTTAATGTCTCATTCTATTTTCACAGGCAATTAGAACCCTGTATCTTCTCCTACCTAGGTGGCATCCTGTTTTCCCATTATGAAACTGTATTTATATAACATTTTAGCATTTTTTTCTTAGATCAATATTACATTGTCTTATCCTATTTTTATCCTATAAAACTTTCTCTAAGGGAAGAAAGGAACCAGAAATAGTGAAATAAAATACATAAATGTATTCTGTAGCTAGTACAGGAAAGAAATGAATGTTTGAACAAACAAATAATAATTTAAACTGCTTGCCAAATAGACTTAATACTCACCTGTCATCAGTACTTTGCTCATCATGTAAGAGTCGCTCTTTATTTAACCCTATCTTCTCAAGCTCATGGGTTAATTTTTCGAGATCATTATTCATTTGTTGAGTCTTTAATTTTTCACTCACCAAATCCTTATTTTAAAAAAGAATGTAAAATCCACATTAAGTGTCACGAACATAAACATCTAGGAAATTCAACCAAGATTCTAACTACCACCATTCAGGAATATGTATGATTCAAAGCAGTAAAGACCTAAATGTGGTAGAACTTTTCCTTCAACATTTATTAGTTAAGCAACAATAATATAATGTAGTCCAAACAGAATAGTTTTGTCTTTTTTTGGCTAATACTTCTTTTTAACTTTTTAGTGTTTAAAACTAAAAAGAGAAATCATGTACTCTTTACTTGTAAATCCATATTTTACATTTCAGACTGTGGGGAAAAATACATATTCTTTAAGTTTTCAATAATGAGTTAGAAATATAGTGTATGTTTTTTCTGATACAACACCACCCTTATCTCACAAGCATCCTTCTTCCCAAGGAAGAGGATATAGATCTTTAGAACTAGGGGGCATTCTAAGAAGTGCGAACATAGGAAACTTGTGGTTCATGTCTGTGAGACTGTAGAACAACAGAAAAAACAAAATGAATTGCTTATAATGATCCATCCCAATGCCTCTTTAGCAGAAATGCGGACTTCCAATGTGACTTTCTACCAGAATGCTAACTAAAATACTTTTAAACTGAACTTAAAGGGTTATCATATATAGTATAGCACAGGGATAGCAAAAAAGAACCAAGCATGGTATCTTCTGCTCTGGACCGACCATGTTTTAAAGACCTACTCCTATTCCTATAAATTTCAGAATTTTTCTCAACACACAGACCCAAGTAACTACCAATTGTTCAGTGTTGACCTGTAAGTTCAACCTGATTTGAATTCTTCTCTACCTTAGAGATCAAAATTCATGGAACTTTGGCATCTGAAAAATCTAGATTTGAATCTAGCAATCCAAGTTTGCAATTTGTTAACTGTGTCATCCTGAATTACTTAATATCTCTGAACCTCGGTTTTTTAATCTAATAGAAATAATATCTATAAAAATTGGTCATAAAAGTTATATGAATATATACAACTACAACTTATGAGGTCCTTAGCCCAGTATCTGACACACAGTTGGCAGTCAATAAATAGTGGCTATCATGCTTCCCTTTATACTTAGCATTCAGTAAGAGCCTTGATCAAATATTTCAATATAATGTCAAAGTAAAATTATGCTGTAATAAGTCAGATATCCCATGGAATCTTTATTAGTACAATTTCTTTAAAAATACAATTATAGACTTCCGCCAAGATGGAGGCATAGGTGGATGTGCCGTGCCTTCTCACACAACCAAGTTTAGAGACAACGAAATATTAGCAACAGAAAACACAGCCAGAACACGGAAAATTGAACTTTTCGGAAGTCCGCTAACAACAAATTCTTTAGCCTGACAGGTAAGGAGCGAAACCAGCGGCTGGTGAAGCGGGGCTGCACAAGAAAACTCGGTCAGACGGACTCAGGCGCGCAGAATCCAGGCGCAGGGTTGGACCTAGTGAGCGAAGGAGCGAGCGACCAGGCCAGCGACCGCGGGGGAGACAACGGGGGAGCGGGGCTGCATGTTGACTGTGGTCGCACATTTGTGCGCGGGTGGGCAGGCGAGGGAGTGGGCGATTGGACCGGGACCCAGAGGGTCCCCGCAGAAAGCAGCAGTGGAGGGCGCCACCATTTCCCTGCTCTGACCACGCCCCCACATACAGCCTCATAACCCAGCGATTCTGAGTGGCCCGGCCCAGGTGAACCACCTCAGACGCTGCTCCTCCCAGCTGTGAGAAACAGCAGAGGGGGGTCGCCATTTCCCCGCTCTGACCACGCCCCCACATACAGCGTCACAACCCAGCGACCTGGGAGTCCAAGGCGCCGCTTCTCACACTTAAAGGGCTCGAACAGACCAAAAATGGCGCAGGAAGATCTCATAGCCTCAGAGCCTATAGATCTAAGTGATGAAGAAATAGCAAAACTCTCAGACACACAGTTTAAAACACTGGTGATCAGGATCCTCACAGAACTGGTTGATTATAGCCACAAATTACACAAATATATGAAGGCGAAACTAATTGAAATGAAGGAATTGCACAGGACACCAATAGCAATGAAAAGGAAACTGGGACTCAAATCAATGGAGTGGACCAGAAGAAAGCAAATAATGGCCAAACAGAAAAGAGTCAAGAAGCAAGAATTCAAAGAAATGAGGAGAGTCTTAGGAACCTCCAGGACATCTTTAAACGCTCCAACATCCGAATTATAGGGGTACCAGAAGGGGGAAAGGCACAGCCACCAGTGGAAAACTTATTTGAACAAATAATAAAGGAGAATTTCCCCAATCTGGCAAAGGAAATAGACTTCCAGGAAATCCAGGAAGCTCAGAGAGTACCAAAGAAGTTGGACTCAAGAAGGAACACACCAAGGCACATCATAATTACATTAGCCAAGATTAAAATGAAGGAGAGAATCCTAGAAGCAGCAAGAGATAAGGGGACAGTCACCTACAAAGGAGTCCCCATCAGACTGTCAGCTGATTTCTCAAAAGAGACCTTACAGGCAAGAAGGGGCTGGAAAGAGCTATTCCAAGTCATGAAAACCGAAGACCTACAACCAAGATTGCTCTATCTAGCAAAACTTTCATTTAGAATGGAAGGACAGATAAAGTGCTTCTCAGATAAGGTCAAATTCAAGGAGTTCATCATCACCAAGCCCTTATTATATGAAATGTTAAAGGGACTTATCTAAGAAAAAGAAGATAAAAAAGATTAACAGTGAAAGGACAGCAAACTCACAGTTACTAACAATCACACCTAAAACAAAAGCAAACTAAAAGGACAGCTAGATCAGGAGTGGAAACATAGAAATGAAGATCTCAAGGAGGGTTAGCAACAGGGGAGTGGGAGGAGGAGAAGGGGGGAGAAGGTACAGAAAATAAGTAGCATAGACAGTAGATAGAAAATAGATGGGGGGCAAGAATAGCATGGGAAATATAGAATCTAAAGGACTTGAGACACATGGTCATAAACTAAAGGGGGGGTAATGGTGGGGATGGGGGTAGGGTGGAGGGGAATGAAAGGGGGACTAGAACAACTGTAACAGCATAATCAATAAAAAAATTAAAAAAAAACAATTATATGTACTTAGTAGTTTAACAAAAGTAGGAAACTTGAAAATAGTCTCTACTTCTAATTCTAAATTTCAATTTTATAGCCATCAGCAGAAGATACAAATTACTGATAGGTTCCAATAAAACTTAAGAGTAGTCTTAAATTAAAAATATAAATATTTTCCTTAAATTTAGATAAACATACTTACCTCACGTAATGTAACCAAAGTTTTTATATCAATAGTTGCCCTTTTTACAAGCTCCTTATTTTCTTTCTCTAATTCTTTCAGACGAATGCAGGATTCTTTATAAATACCAATCTCTTTGCATAGAGTTTTGTTTTCTTTTTCCAAATTTCCAATTTTCACATTATTCTCTTCTAATGTGGTATCTTTTATTTCTGCTTGTTGTCGGAGTCTCTTATTTTCCTTTTCCAGTTGTTTCTTATCCTTTTCCAGTTGAGAAGTCTCTTGCTCTAATGACTTATTTTCTTTTTCTAGCTGTTCTAGTCTTTTGCTAGATATTTTTAACTCTTCTAGGTTTTTTTGCAATGTTTGATTTTCCATCTCTAAGTCTTGTAGTTCACTTTCTAATTGCTGAATTTTCTTATTGCTGTTCTCCAGAGCCTTCTGTAGCCTTTGATTTTCTGTATCTAAACCCTGGTAGCTAACTTCTAAGCGTTCCGTTTTCTTGAAAGAAGCTTTCATAAGCTCTAAACCCTTCTTAAGCTGCTCTTTTTCACTTTCTAGTTCTTTATTTTCTAGTTGTAGCTGAGCCATTTTCATACTTGCACACTTTAAAGATTCCACATTCCTTCGGAGTTCTAAGTTTTCCTCATCAAGTTGGGAATTCTCTTTCTCTAGGGATTCTAATTGAAAAGAAAGGTTTTTAAAGCTATCCAATCTCTTTTTAAATTTTCTATTTTCTCTTTCTAGCTCTGAATTTTCTTGTTCTAAGGCCTCAATTTTTTCACAGGTAATTTTTAAATTGGTTATTTTTTTCTGTAACAATTCATTTTCTTTTTCAAGATGATGCAACTCATTTTCAAGTTCTTCTGCTCGATCTCCTTTTTCTTTATAATGTTCCAATTCTTTCCTAATTTGTCTTTTTTCAAATTCAATCTTGCTTAGCTTGCTACTTGTTTCTTTGATAGATTCATGGAGAATTTTATTTTCTTTTTCAATGTCTTTCACCCTTGCTTCAGCACTTATCTGGGAGCGCTGCCTTAAGGAAGACACAGTTTGATTCAGATGTTCATTTTCCTGTTCCAATATTTTAATCTAATTTTAAAAAAGACAGGAGAGAATAAAAACTTAATTAAGCGAGAATTAAATATTTTAAATTATATTGTTATTCCCTTCCAAAAGCTAGTAGGGAAATCAGAACATAAAAGGGTGCTAAGTATGTCTATCTGACTTTCAATTCTGACAAACATTTACTGTGAGAATACCCTATACGTGCACTACCAGCAAGGCCTGTAAGTTCTTGTCTTTAGGGAGTTCATAATATAAAGGAATGATTAAGAGAAATGTGTTTAATATCATTAAAAATAATCTTCATATTATTTAATTGCACATTTGAAATTCAAACATGAATATAGGTGAAACATATGTACACACGTATGTCCCTGAGGATATAAGCTTTTACTTTCACAAATAAATTTTGCAATGCCTATACACAGGTCTTCAGTAAATATTTGCTGTATTGTACATGTGTATATCTATGGGTATGTATGTATGTATGTATATTGAGTCTCCAAAAGAATTCTATTTGGAAACATCAAAATAACAAACTCCCGTGGTACTTTGAAAACTAATCCATCCGATTCATGGCATAGCCTAATATAATAGTTCCAAAATTTAGCACGTTAAATAAACCCCTAAGAACCTGGTAAAAGTACAGATTCATGCACAGCTCTAGAATTTTTCTTCTGTAATTCTACAGAAATCTCTATTTTTGTAGGTGGCCTAAGGACTAGATCTAGATAATATAAAACAAATTCTTTTACATCTAAAAAATAAATAGAAATTTAAAAATAGCAAGTCAACCTATCCAGTTACTTCCTCAAGCATAAAATGAGAATGACAACTACTTGAAAATAAATTTGAATGGATCCAAGATGGTTGCTGACACCACTTCTCCCTCTTTTAGTGGAGTGAGAGAACAGCTGCATTACTTTCCAACTCCACTCCCATTTCTCTCCAACTCCACTCAACAGCCATTTTCCACAGGCACTTGAAAGCACATGTACTGCAAAATTTTATATGAGATAATTATTAATCATACAGGCAACTTAAAAAACTCTAATCTTTCCCTTTAACTTTCTGAAAATACACAGCATAGAAAAGGAGGTAAAATCTCACTTTAAAATTTAAAATAATTATAAAATATGTCCTTTTAATATTACATGAATATTTCATTTGCATAAACTAACTTTTGTTAATAAATTTTTTATTACAATACTTAATAAGAAGTTTTATGAACCTGTTTCTCTGAATTTTCTCTAAGTGTTTCAATTGTTTTTTCAAGCTGAGACTTCTCCTTCATTAGATCCTTGCTTAAATTTTGACAATTCTGAAGACTTTGCTTTTCTTGAATAATTTCATTTTCAAGAATTTCAACCTGGAGAAAATTAAATCACAAAACAATATATCATTAAGTATTTTAAAGCAGTTGGAAACATGTCAGAACAAAAAAATAATCACTGAATTAAAGATAAAATACACTTTTAATACCTAAATGGTGAAATTTAAGATTTTGGTAGAGAAATTCAAGTAATATTCCATGATAATTTATCATTTATATGAGATAAGCAAACATTTTTCTTATCCTCTACATCTTTCTTATCCTACTATTCTATTATTATCTATATCGACTATTTTTCTTATCCTCTACATCTTTGAAGGCAAATTTCTACTCGTAAACACAAAGACAAATCCAAGTGAATATATGATAATTATGTGCTATATGAAGACTGTACTAGTCTTACTGAAAGGCTCTCGAGTGAATTTTTAAAGTAAAATTTTATAGTCAAGGAATTGTGGTGTACAAGAAGGAAGAAGAGAATATAAAAAGCAGTAAAGAAAAGAAGAAAAGATGGTGGTATAAATTTAATGAGAAAACAAAAAGGGACTTGGTTTAAAATTTTAAAGAAGAGAATAATACTGGAGGAAAAAAGTCTGAACAAAACTCCAACAAATATTTATATTCTGGGTTTAAATTTATTTTCACTTATTTCATTTCATTATATCTTAAAGATATAATAAAGTATGTGGTTAATAAGTGCAAATATGAAAAAGTAAATTTAAGTTCAAAATATGCTGTATCATTTGATTTCCCCAATATAGAACATGCTCAAACCACGTAATTAATAAAATAAAGACAAGATTTAGCTATATAAAATATTCCACTTCAAGTTTAAATATTACAAAAATCTTTATATCAGTAGTAAAGAACTCTATATTTTAACATCAATGGAAGATAACCACACATAGAAAATAATCTTCCAATGATCTTTAAAGCATCAAGTTACAAATCTTATTCAATAACTCAATTCAACATTAATTTACATGTTTGGGAAGCTTTTAGTTATTAATAATTAATTAATCTGGTTCTCCTATTACATAAATTAAATTTATATCCATATATAAATTTGATTTAAATCCATGCATAAATTAAATTTACATCCATATAAAAATTTAATTTATATCCATATAAATTAAAATATATGGATAACATTTAATTAAATTCATTTGTTATTTTACATTAGTAGAATTCAAGTAAAATATTATAAAAGACATCTTTTAGCCAATGAATTTATCAAAAATTGCTAGAATCACTAAGAATTTACTAACTTAGCCTTCAAAAATAAACTTCAAATTTTCATTATAATTTACAGACTTAATTATAATGACAAACAAAATAAAGCTGTTCCAAGTTCTAAACTGGTGACTCTTACCTTAACACTATACTGTTGAATCCTTCAAAACTATTTGGTTAATGGACTAAAAAAATGTTCTAAAAGAGTAAAAATCTTGCCAGAATATCAAGGAGTCTATTCACATTATTTAAGGCAGTTCTCAAAGCATGGCTCCAAAACAGCAGAATGAGCATCATCAAGGAACAAAAGTCTTAGAAATGAGAATTCTTAGCCCTCACTCCAAACCTACCAAAGAAACCAGAAACTCCAGACATCAGGCTCAGTGATCTGTGTTTTAACAAGGCCTATAGGTGACTCTGATGTATACTATAGTTCAAAAATCACTGGTCTAAAGGTTAGGGAGATTTTTATAATGAGGTCTAGAAATCCAGAATCCACCAAAGGCAAATCACATGGCTAGGAGCCCAGAACATTTTTTCATCACAAAAAAGAAGGAAGCTCCCAAAAAGTGCTAAGATTGCGTCCTAAGGATTCAGGAGGCAGCTGCATTGGGACACTAGAAAAATGTGGTAGATAGATACTTTAAATATTCTTAAATCCATGAGTTCATAATAAGACTAAAATGAACAACAAACTCAATTATCTCAGGGGGATATGAGAAAACCATCTTTTTATTAGGAATCTGGTAAATAATGGGATAGGATCAAACACTCATCATGCTTTTCCCGTAACAGCTGTTCCTAGACTAACCAATGGTATGTTCTTTAAACCAGTTTTGTTTAAACTTTTAAAAATTTAAGTTTTTCTTTATAGAAATACCATAGCTACCAATTAAAAAGGGATGATATAATAAAAAAATCAGGATTTTACAATCTATGATTAATTAAAGGACCAAGAAAATGATTTTCCATTACAACTAACATTACAAAAAGAGGCACAACCAAACATGTGCCTCTTGACTGCAATTTATACATACTCATGAATGTGTTTACTGTTGGGTTGGTCAAAAAGTCTGTTTAGTTTTTTTCATAATATAAAAAACACATTTTTCATTTTCACCAATAACTATTGATTTGGATATTTTGAGTGTGTTGGCTATGTCCCATGTGGGTAGCTTCTAGTAGGTAGGCCAGGGGTGCTGCTAATCATCTTCCAAGGCATAAGACAGCCCCACAGCAAAGAATTATTTGGCCAAAATGTCAATTGTACCAAGAAACCTCGCAAACCACTTTTGACATGTCTGATCAGTCACAGTAACTTCTCCATAAACTGCACAAATGTTTTTATGTGTTTCAGTTGGAATTTGAAATAATAGCATACTATGCTGTAAATGTGTATTTTCTTCCATCTTTAATATTAAAATGGCTGCACAAAAATAAATAATTTCGATGTTTTTTTAATGCATATTGATATGACAGTTGTCACAATACATTATAACAAAACTGTCTGAAATGAAGTAAAAGAAACTAAGCACTACTAGAAAAAACTAAACCAACATTTTGGCCAACCCAATAAAAACTATGGTTAAATCTACAATAAACAGCTAATGTAAGGAACAAGAAGAATGCAATCAGAAAAATCTACGTTGTGTGGAAACTCAGACAAATAACCTAGTTTCTTCAATAGAAAAATTGCTAAGAAAAAAAAGTAAACCTATAGAGTAAAAAAGACTTAAGCTCATGTCAATTGACTAATGTATTGATCATATTTGGATTTGGATTAGAATAAAATATAGACTTCCGCCAAGATGGAGACGTAGATGGAGGATCCACCTCGCCTCTGTGCACAACCAAATCTAAGAACAACTATTTTTAACAGCAGTCACAACCAAGCCACACGGAAAATCGACAATACAGAGTCCAAAGGACAACTAGATACTTGGCTGGACCGGTACCAGGAGCGAGGCCAGCAGCGGAGCAGGTTAGCAAGAAAAAATTCCCGGGGCGGTGCGCGGTGCGCGCAGGCAACCGAGGGCGCTGATCGCCAGCGAGCTGGCTGCCGGCGCGCACAGGGAAGAGGCGCGGTGGGTCGGTCGGTCGCGCGACGTGTGGAGAAACCAGTGAGAAGGGAAAACTTCGCGGTGCAGCAGGCTCGCAAAATTAGGATCGGATAAACAAGCCCGAGGCGTGTGAGTGAATGGATGCGCTGGGCTAGTGGAGAGGATCGCCATTGCTCCCTCTCTGACCCCGCCCCCACACACAGCGTCACAAACCAGCGACCTGGGTCTCCCCGTCCTGGTAAACAACTAAGGCTTCGCTCAGCTTACTTAACAGCACGAATAGACCAAAAATGGCTCTAAGACAACTCAGAGCCCCAGAACCGATAGACCTAAGTGATGAAGAAATAGCCAGTCTTTCAGATGCACAGTTCAAAACACTGGTTATAAGGATCCTTACAGAACTGGTTGACTTTAGTCACAAATTAGAGAAACATATGGAAGCTAAATTAATTGAAATGAATGGGGATACAAAAGATACCAATAGTAATGGAAAGAAACTTGGGACTCAAATCAAGGGAGAGAACCAGAAGGAAGGAAAAAATGATCAAACAGAAAGGAATGAAGAAATAAGAATTCAGAAAAATGAGGAGAAGCTTAGGAACCTCCAGGACATCTTTAAACGTTCCAACATCCGAATTATAGGGGTACCAGAAGGGGGAAAGGCACAACCACCAGTTGAAAAATTATTTGAACAAATAATAAAGGAGAATTTCCCCAAGATGGCAAAGGAAATAGACTTCCAAGAAATCCAGGAAGCTCAGAGAGTCCCAAAGAAGCTGGACTCAAGAAGGAACACACCAAGGCACATCATCATTACATTAGCCAAGATTAAAATGAAGGAGAGAATCCTAGAAGCAGCAAGAGCTAAGGGGACAGTCACCTACAAAGGAGTTCCCATCAGACTGTCAGCTGATTTCTCAAAAGAGACCTTACAGGCAAGAAGGGGCTGGAAAGAGCTATTCCAAGTCATGAAAACCAAAGATCTACAACCAAGATTGCTCTACCCAGCAAAACTTTCATTTAGAATGGAAGGACAGATAAAGTGCTTCTCAGATAAGACCAAATTCAAGGAGTTCATCATCACCAAGCCCTTATTATATGAAATGTTAAAGGGACTTACCTAAGAAAAAGAAGATAAAAAAGATGAACAGTGAAAGGACAGCAAACTCACAGTTATTAAGAACCACACCTAAAACAAAAGCAAACTAAGAGGATAGCTAGATCAGGAGCAGAACCATAGAAATGAAGAGCTCAGGGAGGGTTAGCAACAGGGGAGTGGGAGGAGGGGAAGGGGGGAGAAGGTACAGAAAATAAGTAGCATAGACAGTAGATAGAAAATAGATAGGGGGGAGGGTAAGAATAGTAGGGGAAATACAGAATCTAAAGAATTTGAGACACATGTTCATGAACTAAAGGGGGGAAATGGTGGGGGAGGGGTATGCAGGGTGGAGGGGAAGGGAGGGGGGAATAGAGCAAATGTAATGGCATAATCAATAAAAAAATAAATTTAAAAAAAGAATAAAATATAAATAAAAAACATAATAGAATTGAAGAAATTAAAATGCTGATAAAAATTATTAATTTTTAAGGTGTGATGTCACTGTTCTTGATTTTTAAAAATTCTTTAATTTTTAGAGATATATACTGAGATATTTGTTGGTGAAATGATACCGTATCTAGAAATTACTTCAAAATCATCTGGTGGTTGTAGACAGAGTGGCAGACTGGATTTAAGTTAATAATTGTTGAAGCTGAATAATGAGTATAAGCATTCCTTTACTTTATGTTTATGTATGTTAAAATTTCCATAATAAGTTAAAGTAATAACTGAGGGCACATTAAAAATTAGAAAGTAAATATTTTAATATAGTACTATTTATACATTTACAAACATTTTTAACATTAAATATTAATTTTTATTTACCTTTTTACTTAGTCTTTGATTTTCTTTTTCAATTTTCAGTATTTTGGAAGTGTTACCTTCTGCAGAATCCATAGTACTCCGAAGCTCTTCTATGGTTTTTGTCAAACTCTGGTTTTCCATCTCCAACTTCAATAACCTACTTGATGTCAACTCACTCACCTCGTGGCCCAATGATTTTTGTGGTGCTATAATATTGAAAAATATGTCATCAGGGAAACTATGTTTACTCTTTATAATATTGAGTGCACATGCAGTACATCACCTGGTTCTTAAACATATAAAACAATTTATAAAGTCATACAAGACAGACACAATGGAAAAAACACACAGATAAGAGATAGGTAAATCTTGAATTTTTAATGCATCCATAAGCATTCCAGTAGGGGGGAAAAGTCACAAAATTTAGACCAAAGAGACTGGAGTTCCATGAGAAATTAACTACTTGACAATACGAAGCCACTTTAACATCAAAATGTCTTAGGTTACCTATACAAAATATAGTTATGGTCCTGTGGATCTCATAGTCATGTGTGGCTCAAATAACAAGTATAAAGCATATCCTATGCCACACTTTTAAAAATTAATGGAAGATAGCTTGAGAGGAAAAAATTCTAATCTGATCCTGAGAAAGACAAGACAATATACACTGGGCACCTTGAAAGAGTCTTTAAAGAATCCTTGCTAAACTCTGGGTAAAGAGTAACATCTAGTCCATTTTGTCAAGGAAAAGCATTTAAGTAAGTGGCAACATCACATGTTTTAAAATAAGAAAACTCAGTTTCTAGTTCTATGAATGATGCTCTCTAGAAAGCTAAAAATTATTTTTAATAACCTTATAGAAGACTCATTGAATATTTTGATGATATAAAAATATTAGGATTTGGCCTGGCTGGTATAGTTCAGTGGACTGAGCATGGGCCTTTGAAGCAAAGGGTCACATGTTTGATTCCCAGTCAGGGCACATGCCTGGGTTGCAGATCAGGTTCCCAGTGGGGGGCGCACAGGAGGCAACCACACACTGATGTTTCTTACCCTCTTTCTCCTTCCCTTCCCCTCTCTCTAAAAATAAAAGAAACAAAATCTTTAAAAAATATTAGGATTTACAAATGAATTATAATGCCTAGAATTTATTTTAAAATCCTAGATTTTAGAATGGGAAATAAATAGAACTATGGGAGGGCATTTCTAAGCCTGCCTACTTTAAAAAAATTTTTTTAATCCTCACCTGAAAATATGTTTTTATTGAAATTTAGAGAGGAAGGGAGAGAGAGGAAAGAGAGGGAAAGGGAGAGGGAGAGTGGGGAGAGAGAGAGAGACAGACAGACACATCGACTGATTCTCTCTTGTACATACCCCAATCTACAACCTAAGTATGTATCCTGACCAGGATTGGAACTTGCAACCTTTTGGCGCACAGAGGACACTCCAATTAACTGAACAACCCAGGCAGGGCTAGGTCTGTCTACTTTTGTGTATGTTTGAAATTATCCACCATAAAAAAGAAAAGAAATACACATACACACACGGAAAGCTCCATACAGCCTCATAAGCATACATTGTTTACAAAATTAGGTATAGTAAAATATTCACCAGATTTTATGTAAAGAAAGCCTCAATTCTTATTTCTAGCTTTTAAATAACTGCAATAAAATATCCAGAAGTATAAGCATAAATAAAATTTCATTTATTCATCAATTCGTTTAAATAAAACAAAATTGGGAATACCTTCAGAAAGTTCACTAGTTCTGGATATTTGTTCCAATTCCCAGCCAAGATGTAATGATTCATCCATACTTTGCTTTTGTGCCATTTCTAAAGTCATATTTTCTTCCATTAATTCTTCAATTTTTTTTCTATCCATATCTCGTTCCTTTTTTGTTGGCAGGAAGTAGGGAGAGAAAAGAAAGCTAAGAAACAGTATAATTTAAAGCTAATATTTTATTACTTATAACTTTTATTTATCAGAAGCTGAGTAAAATATGAGGGTAAATTTTGAGTTGCTTAACATTTTCCTAGTTTTAAAGAAATAACCAGGTATTATAACTACTGCTGGTCATCATAATGACCAGGAGTCTGATCTTCTTTTAAAGTGAGTTTTGAGAATACTAAAAACGGTTCTTCATAATCAATATACAGGTTTAGCAACGTAACAAAAGATTCTGAGATCCAATGCTAAGTAGTTTTATTTCAGTATTTTAAAGGCATGTTTACATAATACTTCTAGAGTTTTTTTAAAAAATAGAAGACAAAAATTAATAATACCCTTCTGTAACAAAAGCAGAAATTTCTACTACTTCCAATTTTGTTCATGCAAAATTGGAAGCACTCACTTTAGCTAATCTCTTCTTTTGTTAAAGCATCTAGGACACTAACCATGCTTTGTCATTACAGGGAAATCACATGTAATTCATCTACTTTACAATACTTACCATTTCCATATCATGCAGTTTAGCCTTCAGTTGTAAATTCTCTTTTTCTAATTCATGTAATTTATCAGAACGAGCTCGAGTTCCTTCTAATTGGTCTTCTAACATGGTTTTTGTTTCTAATAAAACTTGATTGTCTTCTTTTAATTCCTATAAATATTTCAAATAGGCTTTCTAATCACAAACAGGTTATTATTTATTATTTTTTAAAGTTCTGAAACATACAAATTCTTGATTGTAAAATAATAAGACATTAATGTCTTTATCAACAGTACTATGCAAGAGTAAAGCTACTAAGTAATAAAAATACAATTGGTGTTTTCTTGGCTTTACTCTCCTCCCTTCAAATTTAAGCTATTATGCAAACAAAATACTCAATAATTCTATTAGAATGAGTGATACTACAACAATTTCACATGAATTGCCAGGGTACATTTAAATCCCTTAATCACAAGGATAAAAAACTAAGTATAGAGTAGACCTGCAGATAGTTAAGACACAATCTCCACAGAATTGGGGCTTAATTTATTTACTGAAATAGATTTGAAGTTTCTTTCCACTTAAATTATAACTTGAATGAGAAGGGTTTGGGATTTTTGAGTAAAATTCCATAACTTGAACTAATACTCACATAAATCATAATCATTTTGAGAACATGTTTAAAATCCCTACATCCATTTAGAAGACAAATTTATCTTGTTAGGTTCTACACCTGTTTATGAACTAATGTCAAATGAAAGTATATTAAAACAATGGCATCTTATAAGGATCCCTTAACAGTGCCATGCATACACTTATTTAAAAACTGGCAAAGAACTAACATGCATCTTATATTTGTGGTATATTTGGTCTATTTTGATAACTTTCAGGCTCAAATGTTTTATTTTCTCTTACAATGTTTTCACTTCTTAATTTTTGCATACTCCTTCCTTCTTATCACCATAAACATGAACAAAATCTCTACTGTTTGCAGACAATGAAGAAATTAAATAGGAAATGGAAAAAAGGATGAACTTGCAAGGATTATCAAAATTTTGCTGTCAAACTCAACTTCATGCAGCACTGTATGGTAATCACTAAGTAGTGAAAACTGTTCCTTCTCTTTTGCTTATATACGATGTTTATATGACTTGTTGAGAGAGAGAGAGAGAGGAGAGAGAGCACACACACAAGCAGTTGTGGTCACACAAGCAGCTTCACTCATCCTAATTTGGCATTCTGAGTTGAGAATCAATCAGCAATATATTTGCTCTTACTTCTAGGATCACATTGGAATTTAAGAGCAAGAAATACTTTATTTTGACTACGAGGGAAGGACTTCAGAGGTTGGCTCTACCTATAATGCTAAATAAAGGAATGAAAGAAGAGCTCCGAAGGGTTAAATAAAATTAATAATATCCAAATATCCCTTTTTAAAATGGCAATATGCTGATTTATCATAAAATAAACATGTATTTATAGTTTGCTAAACATTTCAAGAGCTCCATTCATTTATTATATACATTTTCACTGCACTTTAAAAATCATAACACTTTTAAAGAAATACTGTGAATGGTTTATATTATGTCACATACCTCGACTCTTGCCTTATAAAATTCAATGTCATGTAGCCTCTCTTTATATCTACAGACTTCACTTTCAAGCTTATCAACTCTGATTGCCTTCTCTCGAAGTGCATCTAATTCATCTCGGTACATTCTCGCAGAACGAGCATCGGACAGCAAATTCATGTTCTAAAAATAAAAAATATTAATATTTTAAGTATTATTTTCTATTCTCAGACCAATAATCCTTGGTTGCATAACTTGATGAATCTACTAGACAAATCGATAAATTGTATACTTTAAAGGTGCAAATTTTGTGGTATGTAAATAATTATACATCGATTAAGTTGTTTTTTAAAATGGAGAGATATAAAGCCTTTTTCTAAACCAAGAATAAAAAGTATTTTAAACATATGTGTTAATAAACAACTATACAAACTTATTTATATACAAATTTTTATATAATGTGTGTCAGGAATATAAAACTATTCAGAATGTTTTAAAATAAGTTAACTTCTATCTAAAATAACCATTTGCTATTAATTTAAGGTTAGAAAAAATTAACTTGAAAATACAGGACAGTAAAAACATAAAATAGGCAAAATTGAACATTAGTTACTTTAGAGAAATAATGGTTCTAATTCAGATATGCTGTAACTTACTGAAATCCTGATTTTTAAAAGACTTCCAAGTAAAATGATTAGTGCATATAATTATTGCGTATCTTAATGTCATTTGAGGCAAACATTAAAATTCAACCTTTTAAAGCCTTCTTTTAATCCTCAATTCTTTAGAATAGTAGTTATTAAAGTATGAGCCAGGGACATCTGTGCTTTCTTGAAACCTTTCAGAAAGTTCATGTGGCCAAACCTATTTTCATAACAATTCTAAGGCAGTATTTTCCTTTTCTACTCTCATTCTCTCACGAGGGCACAGGAGAATTTTCCAAGGGCTACATGGCATGTGGTATTTTAACAGAATGAATACAGAAAGAGGTACAAGAATGTAGCAGACTTTAATTAAGCCAGGTATTAGAGATTTGAGGATTCCTGGTCAAGATGGTATAGTACAGGCAGAAACAGGTCACCTCTTTATACAACTACATCAAAATTACAACTAAAATGTATAACAATCACTCAGAACTACCAGAAATCATGTTGAATGGAAGCCCAACAACTATGGAATTTAAGAAATCACACAAAGGGCACACCTTGAGTACCTAGCTTGGGAGAAAGGGGAGAAAGGGTCCTGTGCCACTGGACCCTATAGGACACCTACTACATTAGGCCATGCTACCTATAGTCATAGCAGCTCTACTTAATACATAGAAACAAACACAAGGAGGTGCCAAAAAGAGCAGGCAAACAAACATGGCCCAAATGAAGGAACAGGTCAAAACTCCAGAAAAAGAGCCAAACAAAATGGAAATAAGCAATTTATCAGAGTTCAAAACACTGGTTATAAGGATGCTCAAGTAACTTAATGAGGCCCTTCAACAGCATAAGAAAGATCCAGTCAGAAACAAAGGATATACTAATTGAAATAAAGAACAATTTATATACAGGGAAACAACAGCAGAGTGGATGAAGCCAAGAATGAAATTACTGATTTGGAGCATAAGGAATTAAAAACACCAATCATAACAACAAGAAGGAAAAAGGATCAGGAAAAAAAATAAAGAGGATCGTGTAAGCAACCTCTGGGACAACTTCAAACACTCTAACACTGGCATCATAGAAGGAGAAGAGAAGAGCCATTAATGGAAAATCTATTTGAAAAAAGAGTGAAAGAAAACCTTCCAAATTTGGTGAAGGAAATAGACGTGTAAGTCCAGGAAGCACAGATAGTTTTAAAGAAGATGCATGCAAAGAGGCCCACTTTAAGACACATCATAATTAAAATGCTAAACGTTAAAGATAAAGAGAGAATTTTAAAAGCAGCAAGAGAAAAGCAGATAATGACCTATAAAGAAGTTTCCTCAGGACTGTCAGCTGATTTCTCAAAAAAAACTTTGCAGGCTAGAAGGGGTTGGCAAGAAATATTCAAAGTCATGAGAAGCAAAGACCTACAGCCAAAATTGCTCTACCCAGCAAAACTATCATTTAGAACCAAAGGGAAGATAAAAGACTTCCCAGACAAGAAAACAATAAAGAAGTTCATCATCAGCAAAGCATTATTAAATGAAATGTTAAAGGAACTTATCTAAGAAAAGATCAAAACTATGAACAATAAAATGGCAGAAATACGTATCTATCAACAATTGAATCTAAAAAACAAAGTAAGCAAACAAGAACAGAGATAGAATCATGAGTATACAGTGTGCTTTGATGGCTGCCAGATGGAAAGGGAGTGCATGGGAAATGGGTGAAGGGCTGAGGGGATTAAGAAGTACAAATAGGTAGTTACAGAATAGCCACTGGGATGTAAAGTACAGTACAGAAAATGCAGTGGCCAAAGAACTTATACAAATGACCCATGGACATGAATAATTGTGTGGGGATTACCTGAGGGAGTGGGGGTTGCTGGGTAGAGAAGAAAAGGGGGAAAAAGCAGGACAACTATAATAGCATAATATTTACAATATAATTAAAAAAAAGATATATGTAAAAATGTAAAAAAGAGTTCCATTTGAATATTTTTGTTTTGTAAAATAATGGTTATTTAGTTAAAATATGAATATTATGTTAATATGAAATGGGTTGAGTATTATTTTCAAATAAATTAATACATATTTTTTAAATTCTTATAAATTCTTAGTTTTAATTTCTAATGTATTAAATACCAGTTTATTGAATCCTTATTAATTTTTAAGAGTGGAAGAGAGACTCGAGACCAAACAGACTGAGAACCATCGTTTCAGAGAAAACACGGATACAAAAAGCACTGCTACCAACAAGTGGAAGAGCAGCCACCACTTATCTAGAAATAAAGATTATTATGTCCAGTTTCATACAACTAGAAAGGCCCACATTTATCACACCACAAGTACAGTATTCCCTGAAGTGAAAATGGCAGGTTAAGAGAAGTAAGGGGAAGAAAATTGTCCAGCTTTATCCCAATTCATATCATTCACTATCTCCAAATGAAAACAAACCATTATGGAGTGATTTTAAAAAGTAAATTCTTAAATATATCTTGGTTCAAGATGGAAAAAACCACAAAACTTCAGCAAAAAATGATAATTTTTAAAAGTAAAAGTTTTTATCTTATTTAATAGGAAAAAATGAAAAATTAAAAAGCATTCTGTCATATAGAAGTTGAAAAAAGCACCACCGGAGAGTGAAGACCTAGGGAAATACACATAAAACAACCACAATTTTGTAGTACAGCTGTGTAGCTTCCAAGCCCAAAGAAGCCAAATACATAAAAAAGAGAAACTTAGAACTACCCTAGTCCTACAAGCCTCCTTTGAATTTTAGCAAAGTTTCAACAGCACTGACACAGGGAAAAAAAGGTCCAAAGACAGTGGTTTCAAGATTTGGCTCTGATATTTTTGAAGAGAGAAACACTGAAGAAGTAATCATATTACTTGAAGCCTTAGTAACTTCATAAAGCATTAAGGTAAAGGTTACATATTCTAAGGGGAAAAACTAATTTCCTATTACTTAGTGGTCCTATTTAATAAAGGTTCCAAGAACAAACCTCTTGCTGCAGCCTTTTTAGTTCTGTTTCCATTTGCTCGAGTTCTTGTTTACAGTCCAGCAACTGTTCAGTCTTTTCCTCCCTTAAATGCAAAAATACATTTATTAAATAAGCTTACTGCTTAAAAAACTATGATCATATCTCCATTAATACAAATATATTATCATTACTAAATATCTAGTTGAACACAGTATTAGCCATGCCTCAAATCCAGGGGAAAGAAATGGATTTTAGGAATTTATATGATTAGATATCACCAAATTCCCTCTAAAGTTTTCCAAAGGCAAACCTTAATATCCTCATAGTTCATAAAGCAATTTCTCTACATCTTTCCTGACATCCCCCTTTTCTACTCTCCTCTCTTTCTGTATACCAAAGACAAATAAGCTGGATGAGTCTTATGCATGGCAATGCCATCTGGGTCTGAGACTTATAATAAAGGTCTCCAAACTATTTTCAGCATTTTAAATGGCCCAAATACATGGCCACACAGATACCTAAAATCTTTACAATTCAACTGCTTTCTTTCCTGAAGCCTATAAACATCCTCAAATTTCTGCTAATTTTTTTCTTTATACTGCTTTCTTCTAACCCCCATTTTCAACCTCCCCATCAGAGCCAACCTCCTTAATGCTAAGTCTCCACTCAATGCTACTACTCTTCAATCTTGTTATTTAGTAATACAAAAGATAAAATGCTCATTGTAGAAAACAACATGCTGTTGACATCTCTCACACCCATAAATTTTTTCACAACCATTATTTTTAATGGAATAATATTTCCTTTCACAGAAGCATAATTAACTTAAATGAATTCCATTTTTATAGTAATATATAACACTTTGGTAAATTAACTCATTATACATAAAATGGTGTATTTTAAGACAGATTTCTAAAAGTATATTTATTATAGGCATAAAGGCACTTGATATAACACTATTATTAAACTCCCCTCCAGAACAGTCATTATCAACTTATAAGGCAACAAGAGAAAATAGAAGTGCTTATATACAAATCAATTTAACTACTAAAAAAATGCTTTCACTGTTTTAATTATAAACAAATTCTATTTTTTATTGTGGTATATGCATAATATAAAACATCGATTTTACCCATATTAAAGTGTATAATTTAATGCATTAACCACATTTAAATTATCACCGCTATTCCCAAACTCTTTCAACATCTAAACAGAAACTCCGTGCCCACTTAAGCAATAACTCTCCCATTTTCCCATACCCCACAGCCTCTACCAGCCTCTACCCTCTAACATACTTTGTTTTTCTGAATTTGCCTATTAAAGACCCTTCATTTGAGTGTCACCATATAATATTGTCCTTTTGTATGTGGTTTCTCACTTATCAAATTGTTTTCAGGGCTCATCTATGTTGTAGCAGGTATCAAAAGTGCATTCCTGTTTTTTATTTTGAAAATTTTTCTTTTTAATGTATTTTATTAATTATGCTTTTTATAGTTGTTGCATGTTCCCCCTTTATTCCCCTCTACCCTGTGCACCCACTCCCACTCTCATTCCCCCACTTTAGTTCATGTCCATGGGACATACATATAAGTTTTTTGGCTTCTACATTTCCTATACTATTCTGAACCTCCCTCTGTCTATTTCTATCTACCATTTATGCTACTTATTTTCTGTACCTTTCCCTCCCTCTCTCCCCGCCAATCCCCTGTTGATAACCCTCCATGTAATCTCCATTTCTGTGGTTCTGTTCCTGTTCTAGTTGTTTGCTTAGTTTTGGTTTTTGTATTTTAGGTTCAGTTGTTGATAGTTGTGGGTTTGTTGGTTTTTTACTTTTTATAGTTTTTGATCTTCTGTTTCTTAGATCAGTCCTTTCAGCATTTCATATAATAAGAGCTTGGTGATGGTGAACTCCTTTAACTTGACCTTATCTGGGAAAGACTTTTTCTGCCCTTCCATTCTAAATGAAAGCTTTGCTGGACAGAGCAATCTTGGATGGAATTCCTTGCTTTTTATGACTTGGAATACTTCTTTCCAGCCCCTTCTTGCCTGTAAGGTCTCTTGAGAAATCAGCTGACAGTCTTATGGGAACTCCTTTCTATGTAACTCTCTCCTTTTCTCTTGCTGCTTCTAAGATTCTCTCCTTATTTTTAATCTTGGCTAATGTAATTATGATGTGCCTTGGTGTGTTCCTTCTTGGGTCCATCTTCTTTGGGACTCTCTGAGCTTCCTGGATTTCCTGGAAGTTTTGCCTTTGCCAGATTGGGGAAGTTTTCCATTATTTGTTCAAATATGTATTCAATTTGTTGCTCTTCCTCTTCTCCTGGTACCCCTATAATTAGGATGCTGGAATGTTTAAGGATGTCCTGGAAGGTTCCTAAGCCTCTCCTCATTTTTTAAACTTTATTTGATTTTATTGATTATGCCATTACAGTTGTTCTATTCCCCCCCCTCATTCCCCTCCACCCTGCACACTCCACCCCCACCATTCCCCCCTTTAGTTTATGACATGTCTCAAGTTCTTTAGATTCTATATTTCCCATACTATTCTTGCCCTCCCCCTATCTATTTTCTACCTACTGTCTATGCTACTTATTTTCTGTACCTTCTCCCCCTTTCTCCTCCTCCCACTCCCGTTGCTAACCCTCCATGTGATCTTCATTTCTATGGTTCTCCTCCTGATCTAGCTGTCCTCTTAGTTTGCTTTTGTTTTAGGTGTGGTTGTTAGTAACTGTGAGTTTGCTGTCCTTTCACCATTCATCTTTTTTATCTTCTTTTTCTTAGGTAAGTCCCTTTAACATTTCATATAATAAGGGCTTGGTGATGATGAACTCCTTGAATTTGACCTTATCTGAGAAGCACTTTATCTGTCCTTCCATTCTAAATGGAAGCTTTGCTGGATAGATCAATCTTGGATGTAGGTCTTTGGATTTCATGACTTGGAATAGCTCTTTCCAGCCCCTTCTTGCCTGTAAGGTCTCTTTTGAGAAATCAGCTGACAGTCTGATGGGAACTCCTTTGTAGGTGACTGTCCCCTTATCTTTTGCTGCTTCTAGAATTCTCTCTTTCATTTTAATCTTCGTTAATATAATTATGATGTACCTTGGTGTGTTTCTTCTTGGGTCCAACTTCTTTGGGACTCTCTGAGCTTCCTGGATTTCTCGGAAGTCTATTTCCTTTGCCAGATTGGGGAAGTTCTCCTTTATTATTTGTTCAAATAAGTTTTCTACTTGTTGCTCTTCCTCTTCCCCTTCTGGTACCCCTATAATTTGGATGTTGAAACGTTCAAAGATGTCCTGAAGGTTCCTAAGCCTCTCCTCCTTTTTTGAATTCTTGTTTCTTTGTCCTTTTCTGTTTGGTCATTTTTTTCCTCCTTCTGGTCCACTCCTTTGATTTGAGTCTCAGTTTCCTTTCCATCACTATTGGTTGCCTGTGCAATTCCCTTTATTTAAATTAGTTTAACCTTCATATGTTCCTCTAATTTGTGACTAAAACCAAGCAGTTCTGTGAGCATCCTGATCGCCAGTGTTTTGAACTGTGCATCCAATAGGTTGGCTATTTCTTGGTTGCTTAGAGTTATGGGCTCTGGGGTTTTGAGATCTTCTTGAGCCATTTTTGGTCTGTTCATGCCCATTAAGTATGAGGAGTGGAGCCTTAGGTGTTCACCAGGGTGGTGCCACCCAGGTCGCTGGGTAGTGACGCTGTATGTGGGGGCGGGGTGAAATAGGGGCAATAGTGGCCCCGTCTGCTGCTTCCTGCTGCTGGGGCCTGTTAGGTCCATCTTACTGCTCGCTCCTTTCCTGGTTTATCTGCCCATGAATGTGTGACCATGGTCCGCCTGCCACCCTGCACCCTCGCTGGTTCCGCCCGTGGCTCACTGGTTCCGCCAGTTGCAACCCCACGCCTGGGATCTGCGCACCTGAGTCCATCTGACCGAGTTTCCTGTGCAACCCCACTCCGCCAGCTGCTGGCTTCGCCCCTCTTACCAGACAGACTGAAGAATTAGTTGTTATCAGACTTCCAAAAAGTTCAATTTTCTGTGTTTTGGTTATGTTTTCTATTGCTAAAATTTTGTTGTCTCTAAACTTGGTTGTGTGAGAAGACACAGCTTCTCCACCTATGCCTCCATCTTGGTGGAAGTCCTCCTCTCATTTTTTTGAATTCTTGTTTCCTCATTCTTTTCTAGTTGAATGTTTCTTCCTTCTGGTCCACACTGTTGATTAGAGTCCCAGTTTCCCAGTTTCCTTTCCATCACTATTGGTTCCCTATACATTTTCCTTTATTTCACTTAGCGTAGAGTTCATTTTTTCATCTAATTTGCGACCAAATTCAACTGTTTCTGTGAGCATCCAGATTATCAGTGTTTTGAACTGTGCATCTGATAGGTTGGCTATCTCTTCATTGCTTAGTTGTGTTTTTTTCTGGAGCTTTGATCTGTTCTTTCATTTGGGCCATTTTTTTTTTGTCTCTACGTGCCTGCTATGTATAAGGAATGGAGTGTTAGGTGTTTACCAGGGCAGGTCAACCCAGTCTCTGGGTTGTGTCACTGTATGTGGAGAAGGGGTCTGAGAGTGAACAATGGCACTTGCTCTACACTCTGCCAGATTTCAGTCATTTTCCCCACCACCCACAAGCAAATTGGACCCTTCTGGTGCCGATTCCCAACTGGGTGGGCTTGTGTACATTCTAGGACCTTGTGGGTCTCTCTAACGAACTCTACTGTGAGGCTGGGAGTTTCTCCTGCTGCCTCAATCTCCACCAGTGTTTTCAGTCAGTGGTTTGAAGCTTTATTTCCCCATGTTGGGACCCCTGGTTGGGAGGTCTGTCTTGCTCCCCAGTTGTTCCTCCTGGTTTATCTTCATGAGAATATGGGATTGCCTGCTCTACCAGCCACCACCTCACCAGGTCTGCCAGCTGCTGCTTTGCCTGTCCTGGTCCTCCACCACTGCTTTGCTGCAAGCCTTCTCTGCCTGGCTGCCCATCTCTGCTCCTCCTACTGGTCTGGATGAAATTTTCTTCTTTAACTCCTTGGTTGTCGGACTTTCATACAGTTCGATTTTCTGTCAGTTCTAATCATTTTTTGTTTTCAATTGTTGTTGTCCTTGTTTTGGTTGTGCAAGGAGGCACAGTGTGTCTACCTATGCCTCTATCTTGGCCAGAGGTCTAAACTTTCATTCCTTTTTGTGGGTGAATAATATTCCACCACATGCCTATAGCACATTTTGTTTATGCATTCATCTCTTCATGGGTAGTTCGGTTGTTTCCACCTTGGAGCCCTCAGACATTGCTGGTGGAATGCAAAATGATGCAGCCAAACAGTTTAAGAGTTCTTCAAAAGGTTAAATATAGAACCATCATGGGACCTAGCATTTCTACTCCTCAGTATACAACCTAGAGAAGTAAAAACATATATTCACACAAAAATGTACACGTGAATGTTCATAGGAGCATTATTCATAATAGCCAAACATGTAAACAATTTGACCCTTGAGTGGTCCTGGGGATGACAATAATCATCCATGCAAAATAATAGTCAGTTTTAGTCCAATGATGACATGGCAACACTGTGTGCATTCAGATCAATAATCTTCAAAATGTGTTGTATAACCTCAGTTCTGGCCAAGTACCTAAGCCGTGTGGTTTATCTGGAATTCTGCAACAGAGAGTTGAATGACACATGTCATCTGCGCAACCTCCCACACTCCATTCGGAACCCTGACCACTGCAGGGGTAAATGCCCATCAACTTATAAGTAACCAAAGTGTGGTATATATCCACATATATTAATCATAAAAATGAATTAAGCACTGATACATACAGCATGACTAAACCTTGACAAAACTGTGCTATGTGAATAATGCCAGTCACACAAAGGCTGCTTAAAGTATGATTCTATTTATATGAAATGTTCACAATAAGCAAATCCATGGAAATAGAAAATGTATTGGTGATTATTAGGAGTCAAGGGCAAAGGGTATTTACAGGGAATGACTGCTAATGGGTATGAGGTATCTTTTTGGGGTGATAAAAAATGTTTTGAAATTATTGCGTGAGAGTAAGCACAACTCAATTAATATACTAAAAATAACTAAAACGTACTCTCTAAAGAATAAATTTTCTGATATGTGAATTATATCTCAAGTTATTTTAAAAAAAGAATAATTTGTATGAACAAAGAAAACTCTGAAAACATGGGATCTGTAAGGCAGAGAAAATTATGAAAGAAAGTTTTTGATAGCGTTAACCCACTACTTAAAAGTGTGATTTACAACAATGACTTCTTCCAACCAAATTGCTAACAGTATTTTTACTCTGTATGTTCATAAATCAAAAGCAATATTATAATATACTACTCATAAGTAAGTATGTTATATGCTTATGTTCTCATTACAATTATTTACTTCCATTAGGTCTAAAGCAGCCTGAACTATTTTTACCAATCATGATTTCCATACTTCTTCACTTTATTAAAGATCTGCCCATCTGTCCCACCAAAAAGACTTAAAACAAATGTTAATAGAAGAAATCTGGAACACATTTTCAAGGTCAACAAGGATATTATTATTTTAAAAAATTTAATCTTTATTATACTTTTTCCATTACCATTCAGTCCCCTTATAAGGACAACAAAGATATTAGATGAGGAGTTCCAGCCAAGGTGAAGACATACACAGAAACACTTTGCTTCCTTGCATAACACCAAAAGGATAACAAAAATTTAAAAACAAACAAAAAACAGAACTGCCAGAAAAACATTTGCATGGAAGTCCAACATCAAGGAGTTAATGGTAACATTCATCCAGACAGCAGGAGGGGCAGAGATAGGCAGCCAGGGTAGAGGACACACAGCAAGGTGGCAGCTTGTAGACCTGGTGGTCCCACGTTTATGTGCTGATAAACTGGGAGGAGCAACTGCAGAGCAAGACAGACTGTGCAATCCAAGGATCCAGCATGGGGAAATATAGCCTCAAAAACCTCTGGCTGTAAAACCTGTGGGGATTGCAGCAGCAGGAAAAACTCCCAGCCTCACAGGAGAGTTCAATGGAGAGACTCACAGGGTCCTAAAAGGCACAGGAACCACCCACCTGCAAATAAGCACCTAAAGGGCACAATCCACTTGTGGGAAGTGAAGGAAGTAACGGAAAGTGGGATGACAGCACAGCAAGTCGCAATGTCCCCTCTCTGAACCCTCCGCTATAGACAGCACAACAACACAGCAAAGAGGGTTTCCACACCCTGGTAAATACCTAAGGCTCTACCCTTTGTCACATAGCAGGTGTGCCAAGAAAAAGAAATATGGCCCAAATAAAAGAACAGTCAAAACTCCAGAAAAAGAACTAAGAGGCGAGAAGATAGGAGATCTGTCTGATGCAGAGTTCAAAACGCTGGTAAGCAGGATGCTCAGAAATGATTAAGCTTGGTTGCAAAATGAAGGAAGAAATGAAGTCTACACAAAGTGAAATAAAGAAAAATATACAGGAACCAACAGTGAAGGGAAGGAAACTGAGACTCAGATCAATGATTTGGAACAAAAGGATGAAATAAGCAACCAGAACAAAATGAAGCAACAAGAATTCAAAAAAAATGAGAAGAGGCTTAGGAACCTCTGGGATAACTTTAAGTGTTCTAATATCTAAATCACAGGGATGCCGGAGAAAGAGAAGAGCAAGCAATTGGACTTATTTGAACAAATAATGAGGGAAAACTTCCCCAATCTGGCAAAGGAAATAGACTTTCAGAAAGCCCAGGAAGCTCAGAGAGTGTCAAGGAAGTTGGACTCAAGGAGGAGCACTCCAAGACACCATAATTAATTTACTCAAGATTAAAGAGAAGGGAAGAATGTTAAAAGGAGAAAGAGGAAAGGAGACAGTTACCTACAAAGAAGTCCCCATAAGATTATCAGCTGATTTCTCAAAAGAAACCTTGCAGGCAAGAAGGGGCTGGAAAGAAGTATTCAAAGTCATGAAAAGCAAGGACCTGCATCCAAGATTACTCTATCCAGCAAAGCTATCATTTACAATTGAAGGGCAGAAAAAGTCCTTCCCAGATAAGGTCAAGTTAAAGGAGTTCACCATCACCAAGCTCTTATTATATGAAATGCTGAAAGGACTGATCTAAGAAACTGATCAAAAACTATAAAAAGTAAAAAACCAACAAACCCGCAACTATCAACAACTGAACCTAAAATACAAAAACCAAAACTAAGCAAACAACTAGAACAGGAACAGAATAACAGAAATGGTGATCACATGGAGGATTATCAGTGGAGAGGGGGAGAATGGGGGAAAAAGGTACAGGGAATAAGAAGCATAATATGCAGGCACAACATAGGCAAGGGGAGGTTAAGAATAGTATAGGAAATGAAGAAGCCAAGGAACTTATATGTACAAATCATGGACATGAACTGGGGGATGGAGGGAGGGGAATGGGGGGAGGGGGACAGTACAGGGAGGAGGGAGATAAAAAAGAGAAAAAAATTGGGACAACTGTAATGGCACAATCACTAAAATATACTTTAAAAATAAATAAAATTTTGTTTTTAAAAATAGTTTTAAGTTTTATAATTTTTCCATAAAGGTCTCAAACGATTTTTAAAGGTTGTTCCCACATATAGTGTCTTGTTTTGCTAGCTAGACATGTGGTACAGCAAGAAGTATAATTAGTTACAAAAAAAAGATATTATATCTCATGAAATGCTAATTACTGGGGAATACTTGCTTTAGCTAACATATTTATTTACTAGTTAAAAATATTCATGTACATTTTCCAATCAGTATATAAGAGACCAAATTTATTATCTCTTTCAGGTTGTTTGGAATTTTAATACACTCCATGGCCAAGTAAATTTCATTTAAAAATCATATTCTAACATAGTGCAAAATGTTAAATAAATTCACAGCCAGTAATACAGTTCTAATTGCATGCTTTATCTAAAGACTGGAGAAGACTGTGCTAAATTATATGGGACAAACTAGTGTTCACTGTTTAGGCTATCCATTAACTGCCAGTCAAACTAATAATAGCAATCGCTTCCCTAATTTTCCTGGTGCAGCTGCTTATAGAATATCATGGGCGTGTTCACTTCAATAGACACATAATAATGCAGACATCCACAATGAAAGCTATTTTTTTTCAAATTTCCCCTATAGACTGTGTATTTTTTTCTATCTCGCATATTCAACCACTTTTTTAAACCAACTGCTTTAATCAGTAAATAAACTTAATTGTTATATTGTGGCTTTAAATTTAATATACATACTCTAAAGCCCAAATTCCAGGGAAATCAAAAAAGGGAAAAAGTCAAAAAATTTTTTAAATCCTTTGTTCTTTTTAAAGTGCAAAATTAAAAATCTCCAGCAGAAATTGGTCACATCTTTACACATGATTTACCAAGGCATGCCTATGCGAGATTTACACAGACTTTTCTGTAATGTTCTTTGAAAGTTAAATAAATTTTACAACACTAACCAATCTAAATACTTACCAATGTTACATGACTCAGGCATTTCAATTAGTCAATGAGGGATACATACAAAAAATTAATTTTTGTAAATCTGTACATCAACAATTCAGTATTTTATAACATTAATTTTAAAAGAGTAAACTTACTGATCTGTATCAGTGGTTGCCAATATTCTGTGTTTCAATAATATAAAAATAAAAAAAATTAAATCCTGATTTGCCAAGGAAGAACATTGTTTTATAAAAGAAAAGACATTTCAACACTAAACAAATAGTAAGGACATAAATCTAGAATAAAGGTAATTCTTTAAATTGGTGGGATTTAATTAGCATTAGGAAAACCTAATGCTGGTCTCCTTATTTTTAGTCTTTTGATAAAAACTTTGACATAGGCCAGCAACTGAGAGCTACTATCTATATGCCATAAGCCTAAAAATATTGTTTATATCATCTTTGCGACCATGTAAGTTCAAAGAACCTTGAAAATCAGCAACTTACAATTCCTGCCTAAGCCTTCTTATTTTGGCCTTAGCATCTGCCAGTTCCACTGACAGATGTTGTCGACTTTCTGTTCGCTTCATGCCTGGAGAACCACAGGGTGATTGGGCAGATGAAGAGGAATGGGGAAGAAAATGAAGACCATCCCGTTCTTCAGAGAGTTCTATGATAGTCTGAGGAAATGTGGAAATAAACACACAATCACTTTCAGTATTTTACATATCAAAGAACTAAAATACATCAACACTAGGTCTAAGTACTATACTGTAATACCAAAAATAATTCATTGGTCAAAACGACCTTAACTTTGTCATATTTAGCTGTCATTTTTTAAAAAAGATTTTATTTGCCCTGGCAGGTGTGGTTCAGTGGATTGACTAGACTGCAAAGCAAAGGGTCGCCGGTTTGATTCCCAGTCAGGGCACATGCCTGGATTTCGGGCTAGGTCCCCAGTAGCGGGTGAGCAAGGAGCAACCACACATTAATGTTTCGCTCCCTCTGTTTCTCTCTCCCTTCCCCCCTCTCTAAAAATAAATAAATAAAATCTTTAAAAGAAACATTTTTTAAAAAAGATTTTATTTATACATTTCTAGAGAGAGGAGAAGGGAGGAAGGAAGAGAGGGAGAAAAGTATCAACATGTGGTTGCCTCTCGTGCGCCAACAACTGGAGACAACAACAGGGTCAGCAGTGATCCTGTGGCCCTTAATTCACTGAGCCACACAAGCCAGGGCTAGCTGTCATTTTTCTAAAAATTTCATTCAACAGGTTGTGGATAAGCTATTTACTAGGTAACAGTAGAAGACAATAGTTTTTTCTCTTCTTAGTTTAACAGAAGAAATCAATTGTAGTAAGTAAGACAACTAGACCAGATGGCAACTGTTGGAAAGGCAAAAAAACTTGTTGACATAGGGAAGAAATTAACCCAACAATGGTATCTTCAACTGTGCTGTCCAATATGGTAGCCAGCAGCACAAGTGGCTATTTAGGTGCAAATTTTAAAAGTTGAAAGTACAGTTCCTTAGTTACACTAGCCACATTTCAAGTGCATAACAGCTATATGCAGCTAGTGGCTACTATATTGGACAGAGCAGAAATATTATCTTGTCATCCCTGCAGAATTGAACAATTCTCTAAAATTGTAAACTGGGACCACAAAGGGACCTAACGAACCTCAGAGGTTTAGTTCAGTCTCCTAATTCTGCAGGCAGGGTAAGTGAGGTACAACAGTTGATTTGGCCATGATCACATAATTAGGTAGCAGCAAAGCTAAGACTCCGGGCCAGTCTATAGATCCCATATCCTACACTACCTTACAACAGCAGTTCCAATTTGCTTCCCATCTCAACGCTTCTATCACTTTCTCTAGAGGCCCTCTATGAGACACAAATCTCTTCCTATTTATCCCAAATCTGAACATTAAGGACCTTTTAACCTACATGCATCTCAATCATATTCCTCCACTCCCGATTTTCTTTTTATTGGAAAATTCTCTTATTTTAGCAATGGCTTAGCCTTTTTTAAAAACTTCTTAGGCAAACAGAAATCGCCTGCTATAGCAATTTCAATGGTACTTCTATCCCAGACAGAATAGGTAGGATTACCACCTCGGGACCACAAAATCACCATCCTCACTTTGTTTCTGATTACCAAGTCTTACACCACCCTCACTAAATCATTACCTTTTTTATTCTTTTATTTTTTTAAGTCATCCACTGGAATTCATTTCCTTATCCTTGGAATATATATATCTCAGCACCTGAATGAAAGTCTACCCAACTATTGCTTTCACAGATTCTAGTGTATCTATTGATAAACCACAGAATGTGACTTCCCAACTCCTTTTATCTCTACGTCTCCACATACACTCCCCAGTTGATACATAAAAGTTTCTCCAGTGAAGAAACCATTCTTTTGTGCCATGCCTCCTTAACTAACATTACTCCCATGTCACCATACCTATGCCTGAACCTTTAATCATCCAACTCCCCCTTTTTGTCCAGTCAATAGATTTTTCCCTGCTACTATAGAGTTCCTAATCAGCCTCAAACTACAATTAGGCTCTTAAATGCCACCCTTACTTTTCTAATTTAACACTACCATGCTATTTTTTGCTATGGCTCACTCTTTGGGGGAACAATGGGGTAACTAATATTTCCAGAACTTCTAGCTATAGGATTTTCCAATAAGACTATAATCTGCAATAGAAGTATTATGTGTTTATTTTAGTAAATAACCAAAGTCACACATCTAATGATAGGTATAAAAGGAATTCAAATTCAAATTTGACTCTAACACTATGTTATTTTCTTTACCTACCATCAGTGTTTTCCATTCTTGCTCCAAGGTAATAAGGAACTCAAGAGAAAAACAAAACAAAAAGTAGAGAACCCAACTACAGATCCACTACAATTAAGGTCTTTCCAATGCCCACTGGGGGAAAGAAGGGTAAGGGTCATCAAGGAATATGTATTAAAGACCCACAGACAAAGCCAAAGGAGGGAAGGATTGAGGGTGGGAGGTGGGGGAGAATGGGGCAGGGTAAAGTGGTGGTGGGAAAATGGAAACAACTGTACTTGAACGACAATAAAAAATAAATAAAAAATAATTGATTGCATTAAAAAAATCTTACTGATTTCCTGACAAATTTCCCCATTAGGGCTATTATTATAAATATATTCCCTTTTCTTTATTTAAGGCTCCAACTGCAAACAGCTACCATCACTTCCAACAAATGACCTCTTCTCCAACTTGTCAAAAAAACAAAGCCATGTGAGATTAACTCCTCCATTTTTATGTATCTCTTGCACCCAACACATGGTCCCTATTTCTGTAACATTTTCAATTGGCTTTTTCCCCCTTGTTCTTTAATGATATACATACACATTTCTTCTACATAAGCAAAAAAAATCATATTTCCATCTTGCTACCCTTCTATTTCTTTTGCAGTGCTACTTTTTGAAAGGTGGTTTATATGTTCATAGACATTACCTTCATCCTATCCACTCACCTAGTATGTCCAGCCCAACTTCCCTGTCACTGTGCAGTGTCACTGATCTCCACAGTAGTTCAGGCTGAATCTTCACGTGGTCAGCTTTTACTGGTTAATCATTTTTTTTAATTTATTTTTTATTTTTTTTAATTTTATTTAGTTACTTTTGGTTAATCTTTTTTCTATCTCTATTATCTGTAATTCTGCCTTCCAACATCTCCTGACGCTAACAATAGTACCTATACATACTGTTTACTAAATATTTGTTTCATGCGCAAATAAATTACATTTAATTACTTTACATTTTATCTTTCATTTGCAATGTAGTTTTTTCCCAGTAAACCAAATACAATCTTTCTTATACCTCCTTTGTAACTCTGATGTTATTCAGCATAGTACTGAACACAAAAACAGCTGCTCAAAAATAGTATAACTGAGTGACTGGCAAAATGGAGAACTGAACAGAAATAGTGAAGACACATACTACATTTGAACTACTATATGGTGAAATGGAGATACTGAGAGATTCCAGATGCCAATGAGCATTGCACACACAAAAAACTATAGGCTGAAAACTATTTTTAAAAAGAAGGAAAGAAAGAAACCTGTTACTAAGAATTAAGGGCATCCAGAGGTATTTTCTATTAAAGACTATGTAAATACTTTGACTTTTCTCTGATGGTGGTAGTTTCTTGACTGAAGGCCTCTGGACATTTTCCTAAGAATCTAACAGGAAATGTCATTAATATATAACTTTAATTAAATAAGCCCCTCTGATCTTTTCGATCCTAGACATTCCATTAACAGTTGCAAGTAATATCTTCCTTCTTTAAATTTAAATTCCTTTTATACTAGCAGGGGCATCCAACCTGCAGCTCACAGGCTGCATGAAGCTCAGAATGGCTATGAATGTGGCCCAACACAAAATCACAAATTTACTTAAAACATTATGAGATTTTTTTGTGATTACACGTTACAATGTATTTAATGTGTGGCCCAAGACAACTCTTCTTCCAGTGTGGCCCAGAGATGCCAAAAGGTTGGACACCACTGTTACAGTATTTAATATATGCCTTTTTGGTTACTTACTTACCACTCTCAACATTTTATTACAGGTAATTATTCTATTAAAATAACTTCCCTATTAAAATGTAACAACTTTTGGTTCTTTTTTGAAAGTTTGTCAGTTTGTTGCTCCCAAGACTCTAGCACAAAAAACAGGTATTTATAATATATATTGAAAACATTAAAATGTACATCAGTGCTAAGAAAAAAAATTCAGGTGATTTAATAATTCTATCTCTAGAACTCATTACTAAGGAAAAGAATCAGATGTACTTGTCATGATCACAGATTTAGGCAAAGGTATTATAACAATTAGGAACACAATCATTGGACTTCCCTGATCCTGAGTATGTTCCACTATAAAATGGGGTTATTGTAAAGACTTAATAGTGAGTACATGATAAATTTGTAACAGAGAATAAAGAGGTCTTAAATTCATTAAAATGTCCTGTTTGGTTTTTAGTAAAAGAATAGGACTGAAGAGATCATTGTTCCAGAGCATTAAAAATAAAAAGGTGAAGAGTAATTAAAGACAGGGTGACCAGATTATACTTCCTAGATTGAAATGAAACAACTATGACAAAAGTTCAATCAAAACAGAGAAAATATGCCCTGACTAGTGTGTCTTGGTGGGTTGGGTATCACCCTGCAGGGAAAAAGGTCACCAGTTCGATTCCTGGTTAGGGCACATGCCTGGGTTGCAGGCCAGGTTCCCGGGCACATGAGAGGCAACTGATCAGTGTTTTTCTCACACATCTATGTTTCTCTCCCTCTCTTTCTCCTTCCCTTCTCCACTTTCTGAAAATAAAAAAATCTTAAAAAAAAAAAAAAACAGAAAAAATGCTACAGGGAAAATCTAAATCAGAACTTGTCATAATCCAATTAAATAATACAGATTTTTATATTTTCTTACTATATTTACATTTGTTTAATATTTTTTCAATTTTTAAAAATTAAGCATTATGCTGAGTGAAATAGACCAGGTGCTGAAAGACAAATACCACATGATCTCACCTTTAACGGGAAGCTAAACAACAAAACAAACAAGCAAGCAGGAAAAAAAACCAAAAACACTGAAATAGAGAACAAGGGGACAGTGACCAGAGGGGAGAGGGAAGGGAAGTTAAGGGGAAAAAGGGGGAGGGATTTGGAGGAACAAATAGGATGGACACAGGGACGAGAACTAAGGGGGGTAGAAATGGGAGGGAGGTGGGGAGCAAGGGGCGGGGGAGTCTGGGATGGGAGAAATAGACAAAAAAACTGTACCTGAAAAATAACTAAATAAAATTAATTAATAAAAAATTATTTTTTCTAATTAGTCCACTGGCAACCCAAACTAAATTTTTTTCCCAAAAGAACTGGGATTAAACCAGCTAGCAATTTGTTTCCTGAATACCACAGAAAGGAAAATAAGGCCATTTGTTTTTCCTTGTTAGAAAAATAAATTCGACTAAAAGGCTTAATCAGGCAGGTTTTAAAAAGGTTTTTCAAATAATTGCTCTATATAATGATTATTATTCCTTTTAATTTTAACGCAGAGAATGTACTGACAAATATTCTGGTTACACTTCTCCAAAATAATGTACTCCTTCACTCCATAATAATCAGTTCATGTGAGATTAATTGATCAGTCACATGAAACCAAAGTATAGATTTTTATAAGTAATTCCTCAGAGGTTGGAGGACACCCTATCAAAATGCCTTTAGTAACTTGAAACACAAAAGAAATGTTCTAGAAATGAATAAAACAGTGAAAAGACACTAATATAAAAAAAGATACAGAATATGGTTCAAAAATCAGATTAAAAATAAAATAAAACCCAGGATAAGTTTGATATATACTAGGAATTTTTTCAATTCACTTTTCTTTGATCTCACTGTTAGCTTTCAAAAATTTAACTGCTGCTCTAAAATATTTTTCTTTTTTAATGACTGACAAAAACCTGAAAATTTGCATCTGAATTGAATATACACTAAAGAGACATGAATGTTTTGTTCAGAAAAATACATCCTTAGTAATCTCTTCTATGGAGTCCTTTATTTGTCCCAAGAGTAATCAAATTCTCTATAAATCAGCTCAAAACTATCTCCATGTAAATGGAACAAATTATCAAAGCTATACATTCTCCTGAATGGCAGAGTACTTTGGTCTGCTATTAAGAAAATATTACTCACTACCACATGCACTGATGTCTAGACTCCTCTAAAAATTACAAGCTGCTTTCAGAGAGTGCAGGGAAAAAATCTGGAGCGATTGTACTGTTTTTAAAAAGCAAAGTACTCTCTTAAAAGAGCTTATAATAATTCCCCTTTTTTAAGTCACACCTCATTATTAATAATGACTACAAAAACTTGAGCACTTTTGTTGGACATTTTATTCAGAACACCTGTTATTCTCCTCTTATTAACACTTATTTTTCCAACCTCATGTGGCAATAAAACTAAAAAATTATACTTAAGCAAATTCTTATGCTTTAAAAGTCAATGATTTTTCCACTTACATCAATATTTTGAGTTTCACACTTTTGTACTATTGCCAAGCTATGGGAATGACTTAAAAAACACAGGAACAAAATCAGAATAGTAATTTAAAAGGACAGGAGAAAAAAACATAACTGCACTCTGTTTACTAGTTTACTACTTAAATTGGTCTAATCTGGGGCTCTTATGTGTCTTGTCTGATTCTTATGTTGCATACACACAAAAAAGAAATTCAGTACCTTAATAAACAAAATATCAATTCTGAAGTATCTATGAATGCTATTTTTCTTTTTTGAAAAACACACTTTTGTTAAGTAGTGAAAGAAACTTACAAACCTCTGAATGTTCATCTCTCTCATCTATAAGTCTTTTTAGATGCAACGCCATATTTTTCAATAGTGGTTCTATTTCCTCCTGAGACATATCAGTCACTTCCATCCATTGAAGATCAAACACATTTTCCTGATTATGGGTTACCTTTAGAAAAACAATGAAAATAAATCATTTAAAAAATGGCTAATACTTAGGAATCTATTTCACTTTAGCATGATACTAGCACAAATACTATGTTCCATAGAACAAAATGTAAAAAGCAAATATGATGTCTAAAAAACACTTAAAAATTAATGATGAAAAGGCTACTACAAAAATTATTTTTTAAATATAGTCTTGAAATAAATTTACATTTATTTTCTAGTCAACTAAAAAAAATAAGATATTTAACTCAAGGCATTCCTAAAGAAAGGTAATAATGATATGTCTGCCAAGTACTTTAACAAAATCAATTTAAATTTTCATTAGATAATACTAAATGTACTATACTTGAATTCAAAAGTAAAACTTTTTTAATTGTGTAGGATATATGTTATTGTACTTTCATACTTAAAAATCTAATTCATTATAGATTGTGAAGATGATATCATCACAGAACCTTATAAGGAATCCCAATATAAAGATTTTTTAAAGAATGAAAGTTATATAAATGACATACTTAGTTCTTACCTTCCATTTCTCATTGTAATTCTGTTATTTTGCTTTAACTTTCACAATAAATAACAAAAATAACATTTCAAGAATGGTGACAAATTTAGTAACTAGCAACATTTAGGACTTATTCAAAATAAAATACAAACCATAAAGCTAGCATAAATAAACATATATAAGGGGAAACAATCAATAAAACTGCATCTTATAGAGTACTTATATGCACACTGTGGACAATAATATTACTGACAAGGAAGCTGGGCTGTATGAATGCTAACTAAGAGAAAAGATGATATATGGAACTAAAGGTCATTTAAATACATAATATTTTAAACACTATCAATTTTCACTATTCGAAACTCTCTACCTTAGTTCTCTTTCTACCCAACATGTAAAATTTACCATGCTATAGTTCTTGAGAAAGAACAACAAAGACAGCCCAGAGCAAGTAGAAGGAGGGAAATAACCAAGATCAGAGCAGAATTAAATGACATAGAGACTAAAAGCACAATTCTAAAAATCAATGAATCTAGGAGCTGGTTTTTTGAAAAGATAAACAAAATAGACAAGCCTTTAAGCAGGGTCATCAAGAAGAGAGAGAATCCAAATAAACACAATCAGAAATGAAAGAGGAGAGATTACAACTGACCTCACAAAAATACAAAGGACTGTAAGAAATTATTATGAAGAACTGTATGCCAAGAAATTTGAAAGCTTAGGTGAAATGGACAAATTTCTAGAAAAATATAATCTTCCAAAACTCAACGAAAAAGAAGCAGAAAGCCTGAATAGACCAATAACAGCAAATGAAATTGAAGTAGTAATCAATAATCTCCTGAAGCACAAAAGCCCTGGACCAGATGGTTTCACAGGAGAATTCTACAAAGCATTTCAGGAAGAGCTAACTCCTATTCTTCACAGGTTATTCCAAAAAATCCAAAATGATGGAAGAATCCCAAACTCTTTTTATGAAGCCAGCATCATCCTAATCCCAAAACCAGATAAAGATACAACAAAGAAAGAAAACTTCTGATGAACACAATATCGCTGATGAACACAGATGCTAAAATCCTCAACAAAATATTGAGAAACCGCATCCAACAATACATTAAAAAGATCATTCACCATAACCAAGTAGGATTCATCCCAAGGATGCAAGGATGGTTCAACATTCACAAATCAATAAATGTAATGTATCATATAAACAAAAGCAAAGACAAAAACCACATGATCATATCAATAGATGAGGAAAAGGCTTTTGATAAGATACAACACCCATTTATGATAAAAACATTCAGCAAAGTGGGAATAGAGGGAGCATTCCTCAACATAATAAAGGCCATATATCAGAGACCTACAGCCAACATCATATTCAACGGGCAAAAACTAAAATCTTTTCCACTAAGATCAGAAACAAGGCAAGGTTGTCCACTTTCACCACTTCTATTCAATATAGTATTGGAAGTTTTAGCCACACAGATCAGACAATAGGCAATGAAAGGCATACAAATCGGAAAGAAGGAAACAAAGCTGTCACTGTTTGCAGACGACACGAGAGTGTACATGGAAAATCCTATAGACTCTACCCAAAATCTGCTCTACCTAATGAATGAATTTGGAAAAACAGCAGGATACAAAGTCAATATCCAGAAATCAAAGGCATTTTTGTATCCCAACAATGAAACAGTAGAAGCAGAAATCAAGAAAAAAATCCCATTCATATAGCAAAAATAAAAATAAAATACCTAGGAATAAACCTAACCAAGGACGTAAAAGACCTACCTGTATGCAGAAAACTACACAACACTGAAGAGAAAAATCAAGGAAGACACAAACAAATGGAAACATATACCATGTTCATAGATTGGAAGAATTAACATCATCAAAATGTCCATACTACCCAAAGCAATTTATAGATTCAATGCAATACCTATTAAAGTACCAATGACATACTTCACAGACATAGAACAAACACTTCAAAAATTTATATGGAACCATAAACGACCCCGAATAGCAGCTGCAATTTTGAGAAAGAAGAACAAAGTAGGAGGGATCACAATACCTGATACCAAACTGTATTACAAGGTCACTGTAATCAAAACAGCCTGGTACTGGCATAAAAACAGGCCCACAGACCAATGGAACAGAACAGAGAGCCCAGAAATAAACCCAAATCTCTACAGCCAATTAATATTCGACAAAGGGGACAGCAACATAAAATGGACTAATAATAGCCTCTTCAACAAATGGTGTTGGGAGAACTGGACAGCTATGTGAAAAAAACTGAAACTTGAGCACCAACTTACACCATACACCAAAATAAGTTCAAGGTGGATAAAAGACTTAAATATAAGCCGTGACACCATTAAAGTCCTAGAGGAGAACATTGACAAGAAAATCTCAGATACTTCACACAGCAACTTTTTTACTGATATGTCCCCCAGAACAAGGGACATAAAAGAAAGAATAAACAAATAGGATCTCATCAAAATTAAAAGCTTTTGCATGGCTAAAGAAAACAGTATTAAATTAAAAAGAGATCCAACTGTATGGGAAAACATATTTGCCAATGATACCTCAGACAAGGGTATAATCTTCAAAATATACAAAGAACTTACACGATTCCGCTCTAAGAAGACATCTAACCCAATTAAAAAATGGGCAAAGGACTTGAACAGACATTTCTCCAAGGAGGACATACAGAAGATCCAGGGACACATGAAAAGATGCTCAATATCACTAGCTATCAAAGAGATGCAAATTAAAACCACAATGAGATACCACTTTACACCAGTCAGAATGGCCATCATAAACAAAGCAACAAACGAGTGTTGGAGAGGTTATGGAGAAGAGGGGACCCTAATCCATTGTTGGTGGGATTGCAGACTGGTACAACCACTGTGGAAAACAGTATGGAATTTTCTAAAAAAAAAAAAAAAAACACCTAAAAATGGACCTGCCTTATGATCCAGCAATTCCACTGCTGGGATTATATCCTAAGAACCCTAAAACACCAATCTCAAAGAATCTATGCATCCCAATGTTCATGGCAGCACAATTTACAATAGCCAAGAGCTGGAAGCAACCTAGGTGCCCATCAGTAAATGAATGGATCAAAAAATTATGGTACATATACACAATGGAAGTCTATGCAGCAGAAAGAAAGAAGGAGCTCCTCCTCCCCTTTTCAACAGCATGGATGGAACTGGAAAGTATTATGCTGAGTGAAATAAGCCAGATGTTGAAAGACAAATACCATATGATCTCACCTTTAACAGGAAGCTGAACAACAAAACAAACAAGCAAGCAAAATAAAAACACAGACACTGAAATAGAGAACAAGGGGACAGTGACCAGAGGGGAGTGGGGATGGAATTTCAGGGGAAAAAAGGTAAGGATTTACAGGAACTAGTATAAAGGACACATGGACAACAACTAAGGGGGGTGGAAATGGAAGGGAGATGGGGAGAACTGGTGGGTGGGCTGGGATGGGAGTAAAAAACAGAAAACTGTACTTGAACAATAATTAAATAAATTAAAAAAAAACATGCTCTAGTTCTGAAAAGTCTTGTAAAGTACACAACACTAAAAGAACATGTCTAGATAGATGCAGAGACAGCAGCTTTTAAAAGCAATCTTAAAATACAAATACATATGTAACAAATACATTATGTAACTTCAATTATTTGACACTACACAATATATCTACTAGATTTAAGTTTTTATATGGATGTTACAAATCACTAATGTGTTTATAATTCAAGTAATATATTCAATAAAAATAATTCTGTGTTCATTCATTCATTCAAAGGCAAATCAATGAATGACAAAATACTAGTTATCATCTTACCTCACTTTAGTTTTGAATTACATGCAATGACCCACTTTCTGCTGCTTCCTACTATGTCATTCATTCTGTGCTGTCCAACAAAGACATACACTATACTTCACCCCTCAAATAACACCTTTTGCCTATGTCCCTCTGCATAAAGGCAACAATAGCACATTTGTGGTTATTAGCACTATGCCACATATAAAATGAATCACTTAAGAAACTATCTCTAAAAATAAGACAAAAATTTGTATAAAAGAAGGGTTCATCTATATTTAACCTTGATTTGTTCTTGCTTATCCTATGTCTTTGAGAGATATATAAATAAACACCACAAGCTTCGTAAAAATTATATATAGGTATTACCTCTTGAATATGTGCAGCAACTGCAGCTTTTGTATCAAAATCTAAACCTTGAATTCTTTCAATAAATTCTTCTTTTTTCTGACACTAAAAGAAATAAACAAAATGCACATTTATACTTTATAGGGGATAGTACTTGATATGTTGTAAACAACTAAGAACTCATCAGGGTTAAAAGCTGGGCTATGTTTTGAACAATACAATGAGGGTTTTGTTTTGTTTTGCATTTAAATGGTCTCTCTAGTATACTTACCTAATAAAAAGATAACAATCTAGAAATATTTATTTAAAAACTAAGGCATTAAAAATCCACACTATTTTTATGCTTCTAAGTTCTAAAGCGGGAAACCATTACACCACCCATCTGAGGTCAGTACAATATTATTAGGCTAACTTTACAAACACAGAAGTAAAGAATCAAGAACTTGTTTCAGGGAGGATAAGTTACTTGCCAAAAAACACAGTGAGTCAGTGGCAGAATTCGGAATACAGCCAAAATGCTCAGTCAGTCTTTGGCTATCATCAAACAACACAGCCTTTCTTCTCAGGGAAAAAAAATTTAGGCAAATTTTACTTCAAACTTACAATTCATTCTCACATCTTCATCCTATCAATCCAATAAAAGAAACCTACTTTTGTGTCCCAGTTCAACATCTATAAGGTAATACAATAAATATTTGATTTGCTTATAACAAAGTTACCAGGGCCAAAATTTAAGGATATATAATACACATCTATCACATGGAAGAAAGGCAGCATTTGTGCAACTTTTTAAAGAATTTATATAAATTAAAAATATTAAAATGCAAACTCAATCTTTTTCTTTCCAGACAGTACTGATAGTTCGACAAGCACCTTAATCTCTGCCTCCCTCTACATCTCTTACACTGCAATCTAACTGCTAGCATAACTATTCTTGCAGCTACCAAATGAGAAGTGCATACAAAATAACCAGCACTGCCTGGTCTAGCTCAGTGGCATCTTCTGGGCCAATTCCTGAACACTAGTGAAGATAATACACTCACAAAGAAAAAAGCTGGCCCTTTGATCATTAAGAAATTTAGCAAGGTTCTGATTTTTACTCTACATATTTATTACATTAAATCATAACATCATGTTTCTATTGCCATACAATTTAACTTAAGCACATTCCCATCAATGCTGAAAGTTCTATATTGTGTAAAAACAAAATTATTAGGATGATATAATAATACTTAAAATTAAATGACCAGGAATGTATGATTCCTAGCTGTAACTAGGAAAGGAAATAAAAATTTAGGAGCTAAAACAAAAATTTATTTAAAAACAAGAATTTTTGTCTATAAGTAATATTTGACAAGTCTAGTAAGCATAATTAAGAAAGGCTTTGTGATAGTATATTTGGAGGATATATAAAATAACTTTTTAGGTATAGTAGCCTCAATTTTTAAATTTAATGCTTCCACAAATGTTAAGTTATGTATGGTTTCTGAGTTGATGACCATATAAACTAGTGGACTATAAGGACTATTACTCAGTGAAGGGACAGTCCCCCAATTCAACTGCCATGATCTGCCTACCTTCACTTACAACAGAAACTCCTTTTCTAAGACCTAGAAACTCTGTTTATTTGCCCGGCCTTGAACACAGTCTCAGCACAAATCAATGAGAATTCTTCCTTTAACCTTAAATTATCCACAATTTCTACTAAATGTCATCTTTATTCAAACTATAAAAGTTTAAGAAAGGAGAAGGGAAAGTGTCATCAAAGAACATGTATAAAGGATCCATGGACAAAGCCAAAGGGGAGAAGGATTGAGGGTGGGGGCTGGGGAATGGGGAAAGTGGTGGCAGGAAAAGTGATGGGTGCAGATCTGTTGTGAATGCTGTGTGGAGAGTGGTATAAGGGGACTAAATGGCAATGGGAAAAAATTTTAAAAACAAAAAGAAAGAATTCTGAAAATGTTTTATAAATAGGTTAGACTTTCTTAAAGAACATATAATGAATGTCATAGGATTCTACAGGATAGAAAAGAGAAAGACTCTCAAGATGGAAAAAGAGAATAAAAGAAGATTCAAACTTTGAAGTTTAATAATCATATCAAATGTTTTATATTAGTGTTGTCTAACACAGTAAACACTAGTTATATACAGATAAGTATTGAAATGTAGCTAGTCCAAATGGCTACTAAGTACAGAAGTGTGGAAGTTCAATTTTAATTTTGTTTAATTGTAAATTAATTTAAATTTTAATAGACACACATGGCCAGGGGCTACTGTATTGACAACCCAGCTTTAGAGCATTAGAAAGTCTGGTGTTAAAAAACGGACATAAATAGTTTTACTTCCAGTTAATGAAGACACTTGTGAAGACTAAATAATATCAACAAATTGTTTTATCACTTAAAAATTAAGCTGTCTTTGAACTTTATATAAAGTTCTGAAAGTATTATGGGCACTAAAGTTCTTTGTAACTCTTACTATAATAATTGATTCCAGCAGATTACCATGATACCCAAAAATAAGTTATGGAAGCTGGGATACAAGAAAATAATTTTTTAAAAAGCTATTTGGGTGGGAAGTTAGGGGGAGGAGTACTGCATTAACCCTAAAGTTGTGTATCTTCCATCACAGAGTTTACACTCTTAATCATTATTCCTAAAATTCTTCATATTTTCACTTGGTACTATTGGTGCTTTCTCTTCTTAAAGAAAGAAGACAAACTTATGTGGAAAAATTATACTAAAATAGAGGAAAGGGCTCCCTTAACAAGCAATAAATAATTTAATAACTTAACAATCAATACATTATAGTATTTTCAATAAGAATAAAAATACTAATGACTGAACAGATCATCGTGAAGATCATAGTTCTACCAAAGATCAAAATGAGCCATATAAAAGAAATAAAAATAGGAAAATTAAAAAATGGCTAACAAAAAAGAAAATAATAAGTGTTGGAGAATGTGAGGAAATTGGAAACCTTGTGTACTGTTGTTTGGAATATGAAATGATACAGACACTATGGAGAAAAGTGTATGATATTTTCTAATAATAATAATAATAATAATAATAATAAGTTAAATACTGGGTTGGCCAAAAAGTCCACTTAGTTTTTTCCATAAAATAAAACACATTCTTTATTTTCTAAAACTCTGATTTGGAAATTCTGAGTATGTCAGCTATCTCCCACATGGTATAAAGCTGACTGTTCTCGATTAATGTCTTGATTTGATCACTATCAACTTCAACTGCTCTATCTGATTTACAGAGCATTGTCCAGCAAGAAATCTCCAGCACAAAACTTCACAAACCACTTTTGACCTGTTTGATCACTCATAGCACCTTCTCTACACACTGCACAAATCTTTTTATGCATTTCAGTTGTGTTTTTACCTTTCTTGAAATAATACAGCAAAATATGCCAATAAACATTATGTATTTTCTTCCATCTTCAGTATTAAAATGGCTACACAAAAATTCATCAATTTTGATGTTTTATTTTTAACTTAAAGAAACTTTAAATGCATGCTGTCATCACAATACAATAAAAATTGTTTTTTAATGAAGATGAAGACAACTAAGCACTACTAGAGCCATCTTACAGAAAACAACAAACTTTTTGGCCTACCCAAAATAATTACTATTTGATTCAGCAGTTCCACTTCTGAATATATACCAAAAAAAGTGAAAGGAGAAACTCAAACAGCTATTTCTACATCCATATTCACAGCAGCACTTTTTTCTTTTTTTAAATATAGTTTATTGATTATGCCATTACAGTTGTTCTATTTCCTCCCCTTCATTCCCCTCCACCCTGCACACCCCCTTCCCCACCATTTCCCCCTTTAGTTTATCACCAGGTGTCTCAAGTTCTTTAGATTCTATATTTCCCATACTATTCTTGCCCCCCCCCATCTATTTTCTATCTACTGTCTATGCTACTTATTTTCTGTACCTTCTCCCCCCTTCCCCTCCTCCCACTCCCCTGTTGCTAACCCTCCATGTGATCTTCATTTCTATGGTTCTGCTCCTGATCTAGCTGTCCTCTTAGTTTGCTTTTGTTTTAGGTGTGGTTCTTAGTAACTGTGAGTTTGCTGTCCTTTCATTGTTCATAGTTTTTATCTTCTTTTTCTTAGATAAGTCCCTTTAACATTTCATATAATAAGGGCTTGGCGATGATGAATTCCTTGAATTTGATCTTATCTGAGAAGCACTTTATCTGCCCTTCCATTCTAAATGAAAGCTTTGCTGGACAGAGCGATCTTCGATGTAGGTCCTTGCCTTTCATGACTTGGAATAGCTCTTTCCAGCCCCTTCTTGCCTATAAGGTCTCTTTTGAGAAATCCGTTGACAGTCTGATGGGAACTCCTTTGTAGGTGACTGTCCCCTTAGCTCTTGCTGCTTCTAGGATTCTCTCCTTCATTTTAATCTTGGCTAATGTAATGATGATGTGCCTTGGTGTGTTCCTTCTTGGGTCCAACTTCTTTGGGACTCTCTGAGCTTCCTGGATTTCCTGGAAGTCTATTTCCTTTGCCAGATTGGGGAAATTCTCCTTTACTATCTGTACAAATAAGTTTTCCACTTGTTGCTCTTCCTCTTCTGGTACCCCTATAATTCAGATGTTGGAACATTTAAAGATGTCCTGGAGGTTCCTAAGCCTCTCATCATTTTTTTGAATTCTTGTTTCTTCATATTTTTCTGTTTGGTTATTTTTTCTTCCTTCTGGTCCACTCCCTTGATTTGAGTCCCGGTTTTCTTTCTATCACTATTGGTTTCCTTTGCAATTCCCTTCATTTAAATTAGTTTAGCCTTCATATGTTCCTCTAATTTGTGACTAAAATCAACCAGTTCTGTTAGCATCCTGATCGCCAGTGTTTTGAAGTGTGCATCCAATAGGCTAGCTATTTCTTGCTCGCTTAGAGTTATGGGTTCTGGGGCTTTGAGATCTTCTTGAGCCATTTTTGGTTTGTTCATGCCCATTAAGTATGAGGAGTGGAACCTTAGGTGTTCACCAGGGTGGGGCCACCCAGGTTGCTGGTTTGTGACGCTGTATGTGGGGGCGGGGTCAAAGAGGGGTAATGGAAGTCCCCTTTGCTGCTTTCCACC